ATAAATATATGGGCATTGGATCAGTGATGTGCCCCTTTAGCCTTCCATTCTGGTGAAGCCACTTCCTAAATAGGAAGTCAGGTTTTTGATGGTAATTAGAATGAATTAAGGTCTCTTCTAGTATTCCTATCTAAAACAAAGAGATGGTGGCTCTGTTCCAAGTCCTCTTACATTCCTGCTGCTCTATTATGATTTGGATGCACGACAGTAGCATTTCTTTATCCATGCTTCACATTCTATGCTTTGGCTATTTTCGGTAAGCTACAATCCAAAAAATAATTGAGGACTCGAGATATAAACACTTCACAGCTTTAAATTGTGAAGACCTAAAGCAAAAGAAAGAACACTTGCAGATAGAAGAATATAATACTGAGAGAGTCCATGTGCATATATATCACCTTTATTACAGTGTGTTGTTATAACTTTTAAAAAATATTATTGTTATTAATGTCGCATTGTATCTATTAACTGAGCTTAATTTTACCATAGGTATGTGTAGGAAAAATACAGTATAGATAGGGTTTCGTATTATTTGTGATTTCCAGCATGCATTGGGGGTTTGGACAGCATCCCCTCAGGTAAAGAAAGACTACTGTGTAAGTTGACAATCTGGTTCCTATAACACTCATAGGTAGAAGTAAGCATAAGTAGTCTGGAATGTTCTGGCTACATCAGAGTGGAATCACCTTCTCCTTGTCTGGACATGACTCAACTCATCCCTACTGCTCCCAGCAGCACACATACACTGACACTTTCTATCAACGTATGATAGAAGAAAACATCTGTTTCAAATGAACTTGGGCCAGATTTAGTATCCTGTGTATTTGAAAAATGAATCATTTGAACTGATTTATCTATCTATCTATTTATTTTTGTCGGTCATGGGGCCTGAACTTGGCCTGGGCACTGTCCCTCAGCTCTTCAGCTCAAGGGTAGTACTCTACCATTTGAGCTACAGCATCACTTCTGGCTTTTTCTGCTTATGTGGTGCTGAGGAATCGAACCCAGGGCCTACATGCTTACAAGGCAAGAGCTCTACCACTGAGCCACCTTCCCATTCCTGAACTGATTTATTTTTAAAAAAGTTTATCCTGGCATTGTGGCTCAAGTGGTAGAGTGTTAGCCTTGAGCTGAAAAGCTGAGGGACAGCACCCAGGCCCAGAGTTCAAACCTTACAATCGACAAAAAAAAAAAAAAATCCTCTTAAGCATTATCACATGGACTGAGCTAACTGTAGTTTGGTGTTTATAGAATTATGGTGGACAATGATCACCATAAATCAGCCCCAAATCCCATCAGCTGTCTTACATACTTTACTAGTATACAAGTAAAGGCCTTAGGGCCTTACACAGTTATCATTATAGGTTTCATTATAGTATTATAGAGCCAGATCGAGGTTTGTCTGAAAACTGAATTCTGTGAGAGCTTACGAAAAGCTCTGTTGTCCAAAATGTTTAGCGAATCACAGTCTTGACAGCTTTATTTATTATAGGACTTGGCAAGAGTGTGCACTGAAAGGTTTAAGGGCAGAGTAGTTTGCCAAACTGAACTGATGACACTTCATGGCACTATTTTGTCAATCTGACACATTTTGGTGATTACTAGTTACCTATGCACCTAAGAAAGTGTAGATATGCTTTCTTAAGCAATTCACTCAGTCCCATTGAGTAAAAGCTCTCTATAAGTTTAGGTCCCAGGAGCTCTTAGACTTATTCCTTCACATTGATATGCAAGCTCTATCTCCACAAGCTCCTGGGGTTGAGTTTTGCATGTGGATAACAAAACCCATCTTTGTCACATTTGGAAATGTGATGTGCCTCTCTTATGGGCTACCAATTCCATCCTGGTTTCCTTGAAAGGTGAATTCTATTTTATTTTATTTTTTCTTTTTTTTTTCTCTGTCTTTTTTTGTCAGTGGTGGGGCTTGAACTCTGGGTCTGGGCCCTGCCCCTCAGCTCTTCAGCTCAAGGCTAGTGCTCTACCACTTGAGCCATGGCACTACTTCCGGATTTTTTTGCTTATGTGGTGCTGAGAAATCGAACCCAGGGCCGCATGCATGCAAAGCAAGGACTCTACCACTGAGCCACCTTCCCAGCCCATCTTTTCTGTCTTTTTATTTGGAGTAATCATTATAGTTTTTTTAAAAAGTCCTTTCAGCAGGATAATGAGCTTCCATAACTGTAGCCAGCTCTTCACCAGTACCTAGGGAACTTCCAAGCTGTCTATGCCTTTGTGAGTCAACACAGAGCATTTATAAGTTAATAAATCCCTCTTTGAAAAATACCAGAAATTTTGTTCCTGTCTATACACTAAGTATTTCTGGGTAGTTTCACTTTAAACTTGAAGAAAGAAACCTGTTTAGTACTCGGATATATTGTCACTAACCCAGGAACAAAGTTCTCTTTACAGATTGGTAAACCATGATTTTCCTTTTTTTCTCCAGGGACAGATATAACCATGGCTATTCAAATCTAGAGGAATAAGGTTTCCCTTATGAATTAACAAATGAGTCTCTCACAGACAGGGAATGAACTGCCCATAAGGTAACAGACTTTAAATCAAAATAAACCTAAGCACAGTATAACGGCACAACAGCGGTTTAAAATATCACATTGGAATTGCGAATAATATAATGGAGAGAAGTATCTTGGGACACACTCAGGCCCTATAAGACAGTAAAGGAGAAAGGAGATAGAAGTTCATATACAGGGTCAGGAGGACCTGGGAGAGGAGAGGCTGTTCTGAAATGAGATGACAGATGCAGATCTAAATTAAGACAGAGCTCCAAGTTAGAATGTAGTCACTACTAATCTAGTACAGCTGAAGGAGGCAATGAAACATTCAGCGAGCCCCCCCCCCATATGTATCGTGTGTGGAGGTGTCACAGAGGCTGTCTACTCTCATCCTTACCCACAGAAAGACAGGTGGCAGAGTGCATCCCATAGACAAGACACAAAAAGGCCGAGATCTGTCTGGTTCACCCAGCTCACAAGTGCCAGAAATCAAGATCTGACTTTATTGTGTGTTGAATTGGCAGACCAATTTTGTTTTATTTTATTATACTTATTTTTGCCAGTCCTGGGGTTTGAACTCTAGACCTAGGCCCTGTCCCTGGGTTCCCTTTTGCTCAAAGTTAGCACTCTACCACTTGAGCCACAGTGCCACTTCCAGCTTTTTCTGTGATTAATTGGAAATAAGAGTCTCAATGATGTTCCTGTCTTGACTGGCTTCCAACCTTGATCCTCAGATGTTAGCTTCCTCAATAGCTAGGATTATAGGAAGGAGCCACCAATGGCTGGTAGTAAAACCAATTTTATATCGAGAGAAATCTACCAAAATGTCTTCCTCTCAAGGTAAAAGAGTGGCATCAACGTTTCACACTGATTAAGACCATCTCTCCACATAAAAGTGTTTTTAAAATTGTTCTGTTTTGAATTCCAAGGGATGGAACCTAGGGTCTTGCCCATGCTAAGTAAATCTTGTGCAATGAAGCTACATTCCTCCCCCAACACTAAGAATAGCAACTTCTGTGGAATTAGGAATTTAAACTCAAGATAATTTTAAAGAGATGCTAGAATTCTGGGCACCCTCTGATAAAATGGGCATCCGGAAGAGCTGGGTCCAGGTTCTAATAGCCCTAGAAGAGCTGGGTCCAGGTTCTAATAGCCCTACCTAGCTGTGGGACATAGCTCAGGGTTAACCTCACAGTAGGGGCAGATGGCCCAAAACTCAAGAACAAACCAGTTCTTCCCCAGGAGCAATAAATGCTACAAATAAAGTAAAACAGAGTAACAGAGATTGCCTTAGGTAATCAAGGAGGAGATCTTAGGGAAGAATTCCGAAGTTATCAGAGCAAGCCAGCCTCAGCCTGGTCCATAGCTCACAGAAACAATTGGACTTGTGGTGTCATGGGCAGCTGCCAGGAAAGAAGATATGTCAGTTGTTTTGTAAAGTCACCTTCTACATCTGTTTGGAGATGGGTGAGGCAAGTTCAGCCTACCTCATGCATCAGAGCCAGAAACAATTGCCATCATGACTGGACCTGAGAAGTGGGCTAGGCCTAGGGGGCCCGCTGCTCCCTGGCATGCCCTTCAACACCCTGCCCAGACTTTCTGAAGGAGATGGGAACAATGATGTACACTCAGGGATAACACCGGCCCACAAATTCCTTAAATTCAAGAGAGTGGTATTATCGAGGGGGGGGGGGTGGAGAGATCAAATTTAGCAAGTTAGGTGCCAAAAGTCAGTGCAGGGATAAAATTGAGATGGGGAGAAGTTGTGAGTGAAAATTCTTTGGGAGTCTATGAACAGCTATGACTCCTGCTCTGCGCCTATCCTCAGTACATAGGTGGGAGCTGTTATGCCCTCTCTCACCTTCCATCTCTGTTTCTGGAGCAAGTGTGTCAACATGGGACATGGAAGGAGCCCCTGACACATAACAGGGGCACCTGTTCCCCTCTGCAACCTTCTCAAAATTGACCGCCAGGCCTCTTGCCACGGCATCCACCCTGTCCACGGGGCTTTGGCTTGATTTGTGTGATTGCTCTCAAGTTCTGACTAGGGGAAAACCAGGTTCCAACCGCATATCACTCCAGGATTCACCAGAAAGAACTAAAGAGAAAGAAGAACTACACATCCAACTGTGCTGAGAACTCAACAAAGAGAAAATTGTCCACTTGATTTGGACTTGGTTTCCAATGAACAGGTAGGTGGGCATTGATTCAACTCAACTTAATATAGAGAAAAGTATATGTCTTGCACACAGACAGACACACACACAGACATACACTCTTGGCAAACACAGTTACCTAGGATCAAGGACCTAATTGCTTCATTTCCCTGCCTTCTTTATTCCCCCGGTTGCTGCTTTCCTTGGAGCTCTTACTAAGAGTCTACATCATTTCTTAAAGATAAGGCAAGACGCAGCCAGTGGAAGTGACTGCCGCATGGAACGTCTTCCTTGTGTTTCGAAGCCTGCCTCTTCATCCCTGAGCATTTACCTTTGCAATCTGCACACACCAGTTGAGAAGGTACTGTGAGCCAATGTTGTCCTTGTGCTCTCGGACATAGTCCAGGAGGCAGCCAAAGGGCATGAGTTGTGTGATAAGCTGGACGGTGGAGGTCAAGCAGATGCCCAGAAGGCGACACACATGGGGATTGTCCACGCTGGCCATCACGTAGGCTTCCTGTGAGGGAGGGAGAGCAGATGGATCAGAAAGGCTTCCCCATGGTGGCTGAAGGGAGAGGTACTTGAACTGTGAGGTGATAAAGATGAATGGCTTAAAATAATGTTTTGTGTGCCAGTTCTGGGACACTCAGGGCCCAGATGCTCTCCCTTTTTGCTCGAGGCTGGCATTCTAACCAGCTTTTTTTGCTGTTTAACTGGCGATTCTGTCCAGGATGGCTTTGAATTGTGGATCCTTAGATCTCAACCTTCTACGTTGCTAAGATTACAGTTGTGAGCCTGCAGTGCCTGGCCCTAAACACAGTTTTGAGTTTGAAAATATGTAGTCATGCCAGATACGTCATGTCAGAGACTTTGACTCAGAGCTACTACTGACAGGGCATTTTGTGGGAGATGGACCAACAGAGTGATTACAGGGATTCTACTTGATGGAAAGACCCAGGTTGCACGGGCAAAATGTAGGATGAAAAGAAGGACCCGAAGCACTTTGAGTATCTCTCATTTGGGGAACTACTTGGAAAGTTTTCCCACCTCAAAATCTAAAAAGAGCTGACAGGGAATTGTGGAAGTCTGACTTGGGGCAGGTGTACTCTAGGCAATGATTTGCTCATTCCACTGGAATCTCATGACATAGGCACTGAAGAGGTATGATGGCAAAAGCTTCCAGGTGAGGCCGCCAAACCACCAGGAAGAAAACCTTTGTGGTAGGGACCCTGCCCAAAGCACTTCTTGCACAGAACAATCAGTTTCAGCCCTCCAAGGGAACAGAGCACTGAATGAACAGTGATTCCAGACTCCACTGGTTGCTGGGGACAATCTCTGAAGAAAGGTTGTCTGTCTCAGTCTCCTGATGGGAAAACCATGCTGTTCTGCATAATGTACCTGCCCCTGACCCCAATGCCATTCATGCTGGTTGCCAAGCCAGGAGTCTTAGCTCCACAGAGCCATAAATACAGACCCCTTTGCCATTGTGAAGCTGAGGAAGCTGAAGTTATTTACAACTGAGGCATACAATAGGGCCCTCTCTCTGACAGAGAATTAAGGAATCTTCCACTTCCACCCATAAATCCTTTCTCTTTAAAATACAAGTGATGGTGACCTTTCATGTGGATACAACAGAGTGAAGAGTCCACATAGATTGCAGGAGAGTGAATTAGAGGCTCTTTTCATATCTCAGCAACTCCTGGGTTTGGAATTTGGACCTGGGCAAGTTTAGTGGCTCACTGAAGAAGGGAAAGCATCCTGGGGCAGAGAAGGCTGTGGAAATGTGGTGGAGCTGGGAATAACCCGGGCAGGGAGGCTGTGACTCAAGGCTGAAGACAGGAGATGTGGTAGGAAGATGGTAGAGGTGTGGTAGGAAGGATTATAGATGATTTGTATACATACGAACAGATATATTCACAGACAGATAGATATTTTTGGGGTGTTGGGGATTGAACCCAAGTCTGCACACATTCTGGGCCCACAATCCACCACTGAGATCCACCCCAGCCTCTGCATATACTTTCAAATACAAGTTTGATTAAACTATTCTTTCCTTAAACTCTTCCTCATGCTCTCTGATTTCCTTTCAGGCATCTGTTCTCAGAACTCTTTCTTCTCTTTCTCTAGATGACTTCTCTTGAGTGGAGCTTCCAGGATTCCTCTGGCACCCAGAAGTTTTTCCCCAGGAGAGAATATGGAGAACTGGTTAAGGACAAACTTTCATTCTCCCACCCCTAGGCGTGGTAAGATTTAGGGAGATTCTGACGGTCCGGTTATCTATTTGGACAAATACTTGTTGACATAGCAGGGCCAATGCCTTGGACCATTATTTGAAAGTGTAGGTATATATTTGTATGATTTATAAAACAGTCTTCACATCAAGAGTTATAAGAAATAGATGCATTCTCAGTCTTAGAATGGCTGGTGCTCCTTGGTGCTAAATCACTTGCAAATCCTGGCTTGCCAATTTCACCCCACAATTGTAAGGGATGCTTCTCTGAGTATGCAGACTGCCTGTGTTCTGATAGGAACTGCAAGGTTTTTTTGTGTGCTAGTACTGGGGCTTGAACTCTGGGCCTAAGCCCTTAAATTTTTTGATCAAGGCTGGCACTCTATCACTTGAACCAAAACCTACTTCTGGCTTTTTAGAGATAAGTATCTCACAAGTTTTCCCTTCTAGGCTGGTTTTAATCCTCAGATCTCAGCCTCCTGAATAGCTAGGATTACAGGCAGGAGCCACTGGCACTTGGCTGGATCTGTGTGTTTTAATATCACAACATTAAAGTACAGGATGTTTAATAGCGGTAGACAGTGAAGCCCCAACTTTCTGTTCAAAATGTGCTAATTTTTAAAGTTGTAGAACTGGGAAGTGCCAGTAAGTGTGCTTTGTCTAAAGTCATTATGGTTAGAAGATGAAAATGAGGCCCAATGAGATGAGTGGTCAATGTGAAACTATATTTCTCCATGTCAGGACCAGGCCAATGTAGTCCTTCTAACCCCTGGCCCTTAATTCTGCCTCCACCTTCCACCCACCTACCCCACATGCAAGTACCCTGGGCTCTCAATATTACTGTGTCGAAACAAATCATAATGCCTGTTAGGTTCTCTGATTAATGGGCTGAGAGCTTTATCACACACACACACACACACACACACACACACACACACACACACACACACACACGGCATATAAATAAATGTGTTTCACATTCCCTTTCCACTGTTTGCTCTAAATTTAAACTGGAAAGTATATGGAAAAATTAATAGGTCATAAGATTGCCAGAAAAGTACAAATCATGTCTCTCCCCCTCAAGTCTGGATGCTGTACAACCATAATACCAAAGAAATTCCCTGGCAGTTCCCATTTTCTCAAGATCTGGTTGAGATTTGGGTACACACTGTATTCATTTTAGAGGGGAGGAAAAAAAAAATCTGCAGAGCCTAGCAGAGCAGTCTGAGCAGTCCATCTGTTTGTGGGTCAGTGCGGAACTGACCTGGAACTTTGACAAGGGAACACAGCAGGGGGTGTGGGTGGGTGTCAGGCCACACAGAGCCTGGAGTCCTGCCAGGCCACTGTGATAGACCAACAGAAAGGGGCTGTCATTTCCTGCTCACCCCCCCCCCCCCCCAGGGCACAATGGAGGCGCTGTGTAGTCGTGTGTCTGCTCACTTGGTGTGTACAGAAGTTAAAGTAAGCTTTGTTCTTCACTGTTTATCTTGGAATTCGTGATGGTGCACTGTGACCCACGGCAAGTATGCTTGGTATTCCACAACAGTCTCTGAACCAACAAGTGGCGGGCAGAGGTCACCCTTGGAAACTCTGATGGCTATTGTCTGAGTCCTGCTGCAAGGTTGTTGTCCATGAGACTTTGATGACCTTGGGAAGTCTATGATAATGTCGTCCTAATGGCTGACATGACTTTTGGGGTCTCTCCTTGTTACTGTCTCCCTCATCTGCGTGCTATTTTGGGTGATAGCTGGTGAAAGAGTTTTTACGACATGTGAAATTTGTTAAGGAGAAGTCCATGTCTAGACTTAGAAACGCAGGGTAGGTATTCCCCCTCCCATATTTCAAAAACCTTACCAGTTAACTAAGCCACTGACAGGCATCTGTCAAATAGGAGTTAGTTACAGTATGTGGGTGGGCCACAGAATATTGGATTACTGGAAACATTTATAAGTACATGCCAGTATTTAAAGAATGAAAAAACATGGACTGTGGGTTGTCCCATGTGGCAAGATTACTTATACTGTTTTAGCACCTGGTGAAATTGGCCTTAGAATCGTTGGCTCTGTGTGTGAGTGTGTGTGTGTGTGTGTGTGTGTGTGTGTGTGTGTGTATGATGAATGTGCATGTATGTGTGTGTGCATACTGCTGTTAAACCCAGGGACAGGGTGATCTCCTTTAGCCTTTTTGCTTACGGCTGGTGTTCTACCCCTTGTGTAACACCTCCACTTCTAGCTTTTGGATGGTTAACTGCCGACAGGAGTATCATGGACTTTCCTGCTCTGGCTGGTATTAAACCATGATCCTCAGGTCCCAAGCAGCTAGGATTACAGGTGTGAGCCATTGACACCTAGTGAATCATTGGCTTTTGCTTCCCTTTGTAGAAACTATTTTCCTTCAGAGTCCAGTGTCTGAAAGGGGCTCCCCAGTCCTGGCACATGCCCTGTACTGAGAGGATGATTTGTAAGATCCAGACAGGCTGAACCTTAGGACAAGCAAAGGAGGAAGCCCCAAGTCCATTGTTCACTACATGTCATAGCTGTAACTGCTGAAGTTTGAGGAATTAACCAGGGGGAGAGAAGAGATCAGAAAAGAGGATGAAAAAGTGGCAGAAGGACCTTTAGATGATAGGCACTTAACTTTTCCTTTCCTTTTTTGCAATTGATCTCTAAGTCTTTATCTGTCTTCTACCTCATATCCACCCACACAAATGCAGATTTTCTCTAATTAAGAAGTCCGGGGGAGAAGAGAGACTTTTCATACAAACTGTTGCCTTATCAACACACAGTTATTGTTTAGAATACTTCCAAACTGTCCTTACTCAATATTTATAATGAAATTTACACATCAACATTATTTATATAGCTTATTAGCATGCTTGAATATGTACAAATGAATTAAGGAAGCAAATCTGGCAGATAAATTTTATTTTTAACAAGTATAGGTGAAAGGCTAGAGATGACAAATGAGAAAATCTTCACAAACCCCTGTCTATTTAGGCTCTTTGTGGTTGTTGTAATGGGACTTGACATTATGTTAACAGGACTTGGACCCTCACTGTAGACCATTAAGATGAAAGATAATTTTGTTTGATAAGTGTATCATGAACATGGAAGATTTTCTATCACACTGTGGTAATACATCATCTTTTATTAGAGTGCTTTATTGTGAGGTTTTACTATTCTAATAAAAAAGAGCAAGATGCTTAGGGAAAATTAAAGTGTAGAGGGTAATTCATTGTATCCAAACACATTTTGAAAAGGCTCATGTGTGCTTACTACAAAGTCTGTAGGTCAGATAGAAGGCAGTTTTGGCCTAAGCTAAAGTCAATTATTCAGATTTCTGAGGAAATGAGTAGTCAGTTTTTCTTTTTTAAAAACTAATTTCTCTAACTTACACCTAAGCTTACACCTAACTTACACCTCTCTTACATCTAACTTACTCCTCTCTTCTTTCACATTCTCTGTCTCAGGGCAAGAACAGGAGTTTTTACTACCTCCAGCATGCCTAGGCTAATATTTTATGAACATTTTATCCAATTCTAGGATTTCCACTTTAAGCCAAACTCTTCTAAATAGGACTCAACCCTACCATTGGCTAAGGAAGGTCTAAAGGAGGAGGAGAAAGCCCAGGAGAACTGAAACAAAACAAAAATCTTGTGAAATAATCCCAAGACTCTAGGAAGTAACAACCAGTGGTCATTGAAAATTTACATTTAAATTATTTTGGGAGAAAGTACAGAAAATAGGTAACAGTTTGTAGATATGGTTCATCATTGTCACTTTTAAAAGAGCCATTTCAAAGACAAGATAATTCAGCAGTGTCTCAGAATTAGAAATAATGGCATGCTTCATTTCTACTCCAGCTAAACAAAGCTGAGCAAGTTTCTATAAGCCACTATTTCCTCTTTCAAAAAATACTCAACACAACACCTGTACCGTGAGTTTGTCTTGAGCACTCACTGTGTCAGTGGGTGCAAAGTTCAGCCCTGGCAGATGCCCAGCAACGGTTAGTTTCCACCATTTGGGATAGATTAGAATGGAGCAGGTTGAGTCTTGTACCTTCTACAGCAAGCATGGAAATAAAAAAGTACGAAAAGCATGCATACAGAATGTGTAGCTGAAAAATGTCTAAGATAGAGCAATATGATGCCAGATAGCAGAAAAGGTGGCTTCCTGTGGTCAGGGCCTTTGGACAATTCAAGAACAAGCTGAGACTCACATCAAGGATTTCCTTGTTGGCTTTGGGAGATGTTGCTTCTCTGAGTTCCTTGATGGCCACGGGAATCTTAACTTTCTCTCCTTCTGGAATCCAGAGTCCCTGCAAAATAACAAAACAGGGGAGTGATGAAGAGGGTACACATCAGCCCACAATTCCCTTACCATGCAGTAGGCTGCTTTGTGAGATTTTTACTAGTGACACAGTGCTAAAGGATGAAAGACAGCTGTGAGGCTGTGCTGAAGACATGACATCTCAGAAGCACCGTTGGTAACAGGCAACTTGAATCAGAGTAATTATTTAGATTTTATTTTTAAGATTGTATTTGTGCCAGTTGTCAAGGCAGTGGTGAGCCTAAGATTCTGGGTCTAGGCTTAACTGTAACCAGACTTTATACAAAGAAGATCTTAGAAAGGTACAGATTAAGAGGATTGTTTTGTGACCTGATATTTAGTGTAATCTGTCTTCATCTGTTAGGCCTATGCACTCCACCCAAAGTCAACAACACTGTCTATACAAATGTTTTTGGTCACACCAGCACAGGTGGCTTATGCCTATAATTTGAGGTATTCAGGAGGCTGAGATCTGAGATCTGAGAATTATGGTTCAAAACCATCCTGAGCAGGAAAGACCATGAGACTCCTATCTCCAATGAACCACCAAAAAAGCTGGAGGTAGAGCTGTGGTTCATGTGTCAGAATGCCAGCCTTGAGCAAAACAGCTTAGGGACAGGCTTAGGCCATGGCTTCAAGTCCCAGGACTGGCACAAAAGAGTATTTTCTTTTGGCATCACAAGACTAGTTATTTGTCACTATACTAAAAATGACTTCTTCTCAATAACTTGGGAAAGACTGGAATTTCCCAAGGCTTTGTCAAAACAGAGTAGATGGTAATAGAAATCAGTGACATGCTGAGGACCAGAGTCCTCTTATACAGACCACCAGCAGTATATGCTGAGTCTGATGCTTTCCAAAAGCCCTAGTGCTGACCTGTCACCAGAGACATTACCTTATACACAGTGCCAAATGCTCCAGAGCCCAGCACTTTGGTCTTTCTGAATTCTGTTTCCTTCAAGATCCTCAGCAGGGCTTGATTAGGAGCTTCTCCACTGGGAGTGAGGGGCTCCACGAGCTGGGAAAGAGAAGGGAACAGATCTGAGATGCTAGCTCACTTCTCCATGCCGACGTGTGTGTTACAAGATCTAGAGTCTGTTAACCAGTGGCTAGATGTGTGGCTGTGCTTCAATACAAAGCACTCAGCGTGTTGTTGAAAAGCACTATAGATAACTTCTTTCAAGCTAGACTGAAACATCATGTTGAGGAAAATTTTTACCCATGCTCATTTTTGCTAACTGTGGGACCTATAAAACATGAGGGAAAATGGATTCTAATGCTATTGTACATGCTGGCTAATGGCAATGTGAAGGCTAGCACTAAACACAAAACAGCTGGATATGTGGACAGTGGAATCATCCAAAGTAACATCCCAACCATAGGCCTTTACAGGCTCTCTGTTCACAAGCCTTCTGTACATACAGCAGGGAATGTTCCTTAGACAAGACTCCAGTCAGTCTCATAAATGTTCAGTGACATGGCCTAGAAACTTGCACATTCATTTGATGGAGATACCAAAATGCAACTGTGCATATAATTGGACATTCAGAGTTTCTGTTCTAGCTCTCTAATCTCTAATTATCATAAATATTTCATAATAATGTAATTTGGATATGTGTGTTACAGGCTTCGTTAATTGCCCAGGTGGTTGAACCTTTATGAAATAGGACCTAATGGGTATTCTTTAGGTCACTAGGATTGTGTCCTTCCACAATGATAGCAGGTCCCTTGTCTCTTCTTTCTTTGTTGATTCCCGAAATGAGGTGAGTGGTTTTACTCCACCTTCTGCCATGATGTGGTGCCACAGATCTCGGACAACAGGGCCAATTAATCCTGGAAAGAAGTTTGACCATGGTTCCTTTGAACAATATGATGACTATGTACTGACACCTCTGAAAAAACGATGGGCCACCATGAACCTTTCTCTTTGTAAGTTGACTCTCACATGTATTTGTTGGTGATGGAAATGACTAAAACCATATCTAAAGTACAAAATTGCAGGGACAGTTTCTCCAAAGGAGGCCTTTTATCCTCTCTAGAATAGAAGATGCTGATGGCCTGAAGGCAGCCAGTCTCCTCGCTCACCTCTCTCTCCTGCAGGAGACGGCGCAGTGTGCGCTTCCGGACGATGCGGCGTCGGCGCACGAAGAGCCCGATGCCAAGTGCGATCACCACCATCAGGAAGAGACCACTCACGATCCCAATGGCGATGGATGGGATCTTGGTCCTGGAATGGGGTGGAGCGATGAAGGAGAATGAGGTTTGCCAGGAGATCTCGTTGACATTCCACACATTGCTTGCATCTTTTGAGAGTTAGACATCATTTAAAACTATCCCAGAGATGCAAAGCTGGTTCAATATATGCAAATCAATTAATATAATTCATGACATCAACAGGAGCAAGGATAAGAACCACATGGTTATCTCAATAGATGCAGAAAAAGCATTTGACAACATCCAACACCCCTTTATGATGAAGGTTCTGGAAAAATTAGGAATCCATGGAACATTCCTCAATACAATAAAGGCTGTATATGACAAACCTACAGCCAGAATTATACTTAATGGTGAAAAACTAAAGCCATTTCCTCTTAACTCAGGAACGAGACAAGGATGTCCACTCTCTCCACTTCTCTTCAATCTAGTATTAGAATGCCTAGCTACAACAATAAGACAAGATGCAAACATAAAGGGGATCCAAATAGGGAAAGAAGAAGTAAAACACCTCTCTTTGCAGATGACATGATCTTGTATTTAAAGAATCCCATAGACTCCACTCCCAAATTACTCAAGCTGATTCAAAACTTTGGCACAGTAGCAGGGTATAAAATTAACCCTCAAAAACCAATGGCTTTTCTGTATGCCAACAATGAGAAAAGTGTGGCTGAAATTAGGAAAGTAACTCCATTCATAATAGCCCCACAAAAAATAAAATACCTAGGAATTAACTTAACCAAAGAAGTGAAGGACCTCTATGATGAAAACTTTAAAAACTTGAAAAAGGAAATCAAAACAGAACTTAGAAAGTAGCAAAAACTCCCATGCTCCTGGATTGGAAAGATCAACATTGTGAAAATGGCAATACTTCCCAAGGCTATCTACAAATTCAATGTGATACCTATCAATATTCCAACCTTATTATTCAAAGAAATAGAAGAGGCAATCCAAAAATTCATATGGAACAATAAGAGACCCCGAATAGCAAAAACGATCCTCAACAGAAAGAACAGTGCTGGAGGAATATCAATACCAAAATTCAAACTCTACTATAAAGCCATAATAATCAAAACAGCTTGGTACTGGCACAAGAACAGACCTCAAAACCAATGGAATAGAATTGAAAACCCAGAAATGAACCTACAGACCTATAGCCATCTAATCTTCGATAAGGGAGCTAAAAAAAATAGAATGGAAGAAAGACAGCTTCTTCAATAAATGGTGCTGGCAAAATTGGTTAACTACTTGTAGAAAACTAAAGCTAGATCCTTATTATATCACCCTGCACCAGAATCAACTCCAAATGGATCAAAGACCTCAGAGTCAAAGTAGACACTCTGAAAACATTACAGGATGGAATAGGAGAAACCCTAGGTCTCCTTGGCACAGGCCGAAATTTTCTTAATAGAGACCCAGAAACACAACAAATCAAAGAAAGGTTGGACAAATGGGATTGCATGAAATTGTAGAGCTTCTGCATGGCAAAGGACATAGCTAGCAAGATCAGTAGAAAGCCCACGGATTGGGAGAAGATCTTCACTAGCCATACAACAGACAAGGGTCGCATATCTAAAATATGCCTGGAACTCAAAAAATTAAATCCCCCCACAACAAATCTTCAAAGAAACAACTGCCCAATAAGTAAGTGGGTTAAAGACTTAAAGAGAAACTTCTCTGAAGAGGAAAGAAGGATGGCCAATAGACACATGAAGAAATGCTCAACCTCTCTAGCCATAAAACAAATGCAAATCAAAACAACATTGAGATTCCACCTCACCCCAGTTAGAATGGCTAAAATCAAGAACTCTAATAACAACAGATGCTGGAGGAGATGTGGACAGAAGGGAACCTTACTGCATTGTTGGTGGGAGTGTAAACTTGTCCAACCACTTTGGAAAGCAGTATGGAGGTTCCTCAAAAGACTCCACATAGAGCTCCTCTATGACCCAGCAATCCCACTTTTTGGCATTTACCCAAATGTTCACAAACAAGACCACACTAAAGCTACCAGCACGACTATGTTTATTGCAGCTTTATTTACCATAGCTAAGATATAGAGCCAACCCAGATGCCCCTCAGTAGATGAATGGATCAAGAAAATGTGGTGTATATATATATATATATATATATATATATATATATATATATATATACACACACATACACACAATGGAATTCTATGCCTCCATCAGAAAGAATGACATTGCCCCATTTGTTAGAAAATGGAAAGACTTGGAAAAAATTATATTAAGTGAAGTAAGCCAGGCGCAAAGAAACATAGGTCCCATGGTTTCCCTTATTTGCAATAACTAGTATATGTCTGAGTCAAGCAGAAAAGGTCAGTTAATTTGATGTTAGGGAAATGAACCCTAAGATATGTATTCAAATGTTTTTTTCTTTCATGCAATTGTTTCTAACACATTTATAAGATTATTTCTTTGTTGCTTTATATGTCCCTCCTCCATGGTATAACGTCTGCTTTCACTGTATTTGATATTGTTATAATTTGTGGAGGGAAGGGAAAAAACAAATTGTTTAAATAGGGATACAGGTGGACCCATTGCAACACTGAGATGTACAAGTCGTTATGTTAAAATCGAAATTTACAACTTTGTTGGGGGTGGGGGAGGAGGGCTGGGTGGGGGGGGGTGGAGGGAGGATGGGTTGGGAAGGGGAAACAAATGAGGAGGCTACAATGCTTGATAAGAAATGTACTCATTATCTTGCCCATGTAATTGTAACCCCTCTGTACAGTATTTTCACAATTAAAAAAAAATCTTTCCCAGAAAGTGGGGGGTAATGTGTAACTTCTAAAGGATGAAAGATGGCCAAGTAATAGTTCTAAGGCAATTGTTTCCAATGCTCTCAGTTTGTCTTCATTGGATGCCCCCGGAAATCCACGTCCATCATGAATATTGGATAAGAGTGGGCTGGAGCTGAGGAAGGGTTGGTAAGAGAAAGGATTTTGTAAGCATTACCAGAAAGGGAAGATGTGCTGGTATCAGGGGAAGTGTGACTGGAAGAGCAGACATGGCTAATGTATACTCAGTGTGTATCTCCCCAGATTCTTACTAAACATTTGGATTATGATAACACGCTTTCCTGATGAGTCTGTACAGGAGTTTACAATTCTGCTGTCCTCGGTGGAACATTTCAAACAAGCACACAAAGAAAGGAAGCCCATGCGCCTTTGCTGAGCAGTGTTTCAAAAAGGAAGTAACATTTGTTTATTTATTTATTTATTTTTGGAGGTACTGGGTTTCAAACTCAGGGCCTCATGCTTGTCAGATAGGCACTTTATCACGTGAGTCCTAACCCTAGCCCTTTTTTTTACTTTTGTTATTTTTTTTCAAATAGGATCTTACTTTTTGTCCAGGCCAGTCTAGACCACAGTCTTCTGTACTATCTATGCTTCTTCTGTAGCTGAGATGACAAACATGTGCCATTATGCCTACATTTTTTTTTTTTCTGTTGAGATAGAGGTCTCATAACATTTTTGCCTGAGGTACTCTAGAGCTGTGATTCTCTGGATTCCAGTCTCTTGAGTATCTAGGATTAAAGGACAATTCACAACTGACTGTACTATTTTTTCTGCCAAGAACTTTATTGAAACTTTCTTTTAGCATTTTGTGTGTGTGTGTGGGTATACATGGTAGCTGGTGGGAATCCACCTCAGTGGACAATGGGTGATAAGGAATACTTTTTGTAAAATAACTCAAAGGCAATTGTAGCATTGTGACATAAGAGGACTCAACATTTTCCTTCATGTTTGATACCACGTTTTCCATTTTTTTCCCCTGGGAGGAAAGAAATGAGATACTGAGATGAAATGAAATAGGAATGGTGTCATCTCAGGTTAGTTGAAGAAGGAAAGGGCACTTAGACTTCTTGGGTCTTAGTTTGAGAATAATAACATTACCTGATTTTATATAGACAGTATCATTTTTATTTTATTTTAATTTTTTATTAATTTAATTAAATTAATTAATTTACTTTTTTGCTGGTCCTGGGACTTGAATGTGGGACCTTGTTCTCTTGCTTGGCTTTTTTGCTCAGGGTTGTCATTCTACCACTTGATCCACAGATCTACTTTTAAGAAAGTTGTGGGCCTTGACCTCAGGGCTTGGGTGCTGTCTCTGAGCAATTTTGTTCAAGGCTATCAATGTGAGCCACAATGACACTTCTGGTTTTCTGGTGGTTAATTAGAGATAGGAGTCTCATAGACTCTCCTGCCTGGTTTGGCTTTGAACCAAGATCCTCAGATACTCTCCTGAGTAGCTAGGATTACAGGCATGAGCCACTGGTGCCCAGCTACGGAAAAAAAACTTTTAAACACAGGTTTGTGATAGCATTCGTGAGAAAAGAGAAAGGAATAAAGCAAAAGTGGTATAACTAAAGCAGGAGAGATGGTAGGTGTATGAAAGCCCACCCAGCATCACATCCCTTGTGGATGACAGTCATCCTTTGAGACAGGAGGGCAGCATGAACTGGCCTACTCTGTTGCAAACTCAGGCTAGACCAGAGGAGATGTAAGAACCTGCCAAGGCTGGAAGACAAAAGACAATGTAGACATTTCATTATACTGGAGGGTGCCAATAAGCCCCAAAGCTGTGATACTCACTCATTTGTTGGACAGCCTTTAAGACCTGGCCCAGAACATCTGTAAGAAATGAAAGAAAAAAAGATACACATATTTTTTTCTCACTCTACTTCTTTGGCATTTGTTTCATAACTTAAAATTTGATTTTGCGATTTTAAAATTAAATCATAAGACAATGTGTAATTAGGTACTTTTGGTTACTCTCAGTGGATCTGTATGTTGGGATGCTGCTTACTAACTTATTATCCAGTAATCTCATTTGTTAATTCATCAGTAAACATACTAATTTATTAATTAACCAATATATCAATTTTTATCAATTAAATCAATTTGTTGGTTGAACTGATTTATTATTTAAGTTCATTGTTGATTGAATTAAAGTATTAATTAACACTTTTGTTAATTTATGCAGGTACTTTTCAGAGTTTGCCTGTAACAGGGATTATTTTGGCCTTGAATGAAACAGCCAGATCATCATTGAAAGGTAACACAGGGATGGCTCAGTCATGGTTGGCTGTAAACACCAGGATGGAGAGGTGGGTGGGGGTAGCCAAGAGGAGACACATGTCCTGAGGCAACATGACCAAGGAATTTATGAAGAAGCTTGTGCTTTGACCAGTCATCTGGTGATGAGGGAGTGGTCAGAGGTGCTCCTGAGATAGCACTTACTTCCGGATGAGATGAAGAAGAGGAGGAAAGGAACCCTGATGAGTTAAGAATGAAACTGGATAGGAGATGCAGCAGGAACCTGGAAGCCCAAGAGAAGGAGTGGCAAAAAGGAAAGGAAGAGAGATAAACAAACAAAGATACAAGTCTCAAAGGCTGGAAGTTGGCCATGATGATCACAGACCCAGAGAGCCAGAAACAAGAGGGAACCGTGTCCGGCCCAGTGACTGGGACAACATTCATACAAAAGACAGAATTTACTTTATGGATGAGTGTTTCAGGGTGATCTGTTGCACCCCCATTATAGTGGGGGGAGGTGACCATTATTATTTGATTATATAGCATGATGATTTAAAAAGGCTGGATAAATTTGCTTTCAGAGTTACTTTTCAGGGCCTGGGAAAGATAAATAACTTCACTTCAAATACGTGAGGAGGACCAGGGGGACTATTGTTGGATAGTGTCATCTGGTCTCCTGAATATCTCTTACCTTTTTTATTCCCCCTTGCTGGGTATTGAACTCAGGCCTTGGGACATACGAAGCACACATTGTACCAATGAACTAATCCCTTTCTCCTCTGCCAGCTAGTCCTAAATATTTTCTCTTCCTGTTCCTTAGGCTCTGATCTTTACACTTAGCTCTTTTTGGTTCTCAGGGCCAAGATTCCACATTTCCTCCACATTGCTGTGGTGTCAGATAAGGCAGGTTTGCCTCTGCAATGCCCTTGTCTTTCATTCATAAACCAAACACAAGCTTAAACAGCCAAAGAGAGAGATGAGATCCTTCAGTGACCTGGCCATGGATAAAGGTGGAACCTCCTTGAAAATCACCCATCATTGCACTGTCCCTGTAATGCGTGATCATCTCTGCTCAACAGTATGCTGGCACTAATGTTGAGTAAAACACTCTGGGAACATTGTTTAGAGATGGCAGCTTGGAAGTGCAACTTGAACCTCATGCAATGTTTCAAGAAGTTCCTGAAAGCAACATTAGAAAACCTGCAGGAATGCCTAAGAGGAAGCTGTGGTGAGTGAGATCCAAGGGAGACAGACAGTTCACGTTTGAAGAAATGACCAGGTAATTGACAAATTATGTTAAATGCCATAATTGAAATTATTTCTATTGCTACCATTGTAATCACAAGCACTGGATTTTTTTTTTTACTACCATCTCACCATTGTCAGCATTGTTGTTGCCACCCTATCACCATTATATTGTTATCACTACCCCATGGCCATCACGACCACCAGCAGCGCTGGTGGCTGTTCCTATGACATCAGCATTGCCACCACTGTCAGCATCACTGTTTCTGCCATGTTATCACAACCACTATCAGCATCGCTACCATCACTACCATGGTTACTCCCACCTCCCCACTGCCACGACATCATCATTATTACTACTACTGAAATAGACATCGTTACACTTCCCTCATAACTACGTTCCCGACAAAGGCTATTTTGCCAGAATGTGGCTAGGTGAGGCTGTCCATTGGAATGTGAGCTTCAGGCAGACCAGGTGGGGCTCTCTGGATCGATTGGATCAATAACAGGAAGTCCACAAGATATTTTTGAAATTGCACACCTGGCCTGGAGTTGATGTCATCTCTACCTGACTTTTGTCTTGCAGATTAATGACTTGATTGCGTGCGTGCGTGTGTGCATATGTGTGTGTGTGTGTGTGTGTGTGTGTGTGTGTGTGTATGTGTGTGAAACCAACTTGTATAAACCCAAATTCTCCCCTTCTTTGTCATCTGAACTTCTTTCTGGAACTAGCCTGGTTCAAGTTGCAGGCAAAAAATTTTTTTTATCCTCTCTAAAAAGTGGTCATGATCTTTGCTGGTCTGTGCTGCCATAATACTAACTCATCACAACTACCACTCTTGTTGCTACCACCTTATTAACATTCAGCATCACTACTCCTACCCCATCATTGCTGTTAACATCATCCCCAGTTATTACCATTATTATTACAATCACTACCCCAATACCACCACCACCACCATCTCTGTTATCACAGCCATCATCCCCATCACTATGGTTACTTTCCTCATCACCCTCACCACTATTGTTAATACCATCTCATTACAACCACTGCCACTATGATCATAAGTGCTACCACTAATTGATCCATGCTCACTCATGGTCACATATTAACAAAAACCTATGGATTGTGCAGTATTATTGTCCCAATTTACAAATGGATTCAGTTAGGCAGGAAGACATATTTTACACAATAGCATCAGATAGATCCAGAGAAAGAAAGATAATATTCCAAATAAGACTGAGCACTTTAAGAAATTCAAGTAATCTAGGAGCCTATGGTTGAAGCCTATAATATTAATAACTCACATTTCAAAGCCGGTCTAGGAGAAAAATGTCTGCAAGACTTATCTATAATTGGCTATCAAAAAGTTTGACTAGAGTCTAGAGTGGTGGAGTATTACTTGTGAGCATAAAAGTCAAGTGAGAGTTTTGAGGTCCTGAGTTCAAGCTCTGGTATGAGACTAAAAAGAAAAAAGAAAAGAAAAGGCAAAGAAAAGTAAAACAAGTAAATGGGAAATTGCATTTCTGACAACTCAATTCCTCTTCTGATTGTCAAGTGTGGTCTGGTTTGATTGCTAAATTCATTGTTCCAGGAAATAAGATAAGTGTAATCAAAGCACTTCTGCTAATTCAAGTCAATATAGTTTTTATTTACTTATTTTTGTAAAGGTCCGGGGGCTTGAGCTCAGGGCCTGGGCATTGTCCCTGAGCATTTTCTGGCTCAAGACTAGTGCTCTACAACTTGAGTTACAGCTCCACTTCTGACTTTTTGGAAGTCACATAAGAGTCTCACAGTGTCTCACAAACTTTCTTGCGTGGGCTGACTTTGAACTGCAATTTTCAGATCTCAGCCTCCTGAGTATCCAGGATTACAGGCATGAGACACCAGTGGTGCCTGGCTCAAAACAGTTTTACTTCACATGGTAACACTTAAAAATCAATTTGCTTTAAAAGTGTGTTCTAAGCAATATTACCTTTTATTAGCTCTAACACACACACACACACACACACACACACACACACACACACACACTCTAGTCTTCATCCTAACTAGTAGTAATCCAGGAAAAGGCAGAGGAAGCAGTGGTCTCTTTGTATTATTTTTTTCTCTTCTATCTGCACATAAATCCTTATGCAAGAAACCTCTGAGAGGCAGAAGGACATTAGTTCTCACACCAAGACATCCCTTCCACATATCACTGCTGAATCTGCAGCCAGAGGGACAAAAACACCTAGTTCACAGACTCAAAATACAAGTATTTGTAATCCACTGCCTACAAATCTGGTAGCTATTTTCATAGTATGATTTTACAGATGAGGAATCATTTCATGCTTTCGGGGGTGGAGGGGGGTCTTCTGTCCACAGTGCTCAAACTCCTACTCACCCATAGGTACAGTTCTGATGGCAGAGGTGGCAGACACGGTTGGAATCTGCATACTTCCACACCAGGGTGTTGTTTTCCCCCATGATACCAGCTGGACAGGTCTTAACACAGTGAGGGCCATCGATGTAATGGGCACACTTTATGCAGTTGTCTGGTCCCTGCATCAGATTGCATAAAAGTCCTTATGAATGATTACTTTGTCAAAATGGAAGTAACTTTTTATTTAACACGAGGGGGGAAAAGTCAAATACTATAGAAGTTCCTAAAGTATGAAACAAGCCTATGATTGCTCTGGATTGATTTGGATCACATCAAGTAGCTTACGTAGTACAGGTCTTTCTGATTCAAATAGAATTTCTGTTTACTCTGTAATCATATATAACATCTAACTGCATATGTGTGTTCTAATTTATTAATTAAAAAACAATATCTGGGCTGGGAAGGTGGCTCAGTGGTAGAGTGCTTGCCTTGCATGCATGAGGCCCTGGGTTCAATTCCTCAGCACCACATTAAGTAGAAAAAGCCAGAAGTGGTGCTGTGGCCCAAGTGGTAGAGTGCTACCCTTGAGCTAAAGAGCTGAGGGATAGCACCCAAGCCCAGAGTTCAGGCCCCACGACTGCCAAAAACAAAACAAAACAAAAAAACAAACAAAAAAACCAATGTAACATTGATCAAGATGCATTGTACTTATAAACTGATTTATTTTGTTTTGGTCAGTCATGGGGCTTGAACTCTGGGCTTGGGCCCTGTCCCTCAGCTCTTCAGCTCAAGGCAAGTGCTCTACCACTTGAGCCACAGCTCCACTTCCGGTTTTCTAGTAGTTTATTGGAGATAAGAGTCTCACGGACTTTCTTGCCTGGACTGGCTTTGAACTGCAATCCTCAGATCTCAGCCTCCTGGGTAGCTAGGATTACAGGCATGAGCCACTGGCGTCCGGCTTAAACTGATTTCATATGATAACTTTTGCACAACTACTTAAAGATAACAAAATATAATTAAACAACCAAACAAATTAAACAAAACAACAACAAAAACCCCAATGTATAATCACTACAATTTGGTTACTCTCTAAATGAATAGTTGTTACTATTTTGTTACTCTTTAAGTCCTGAGGACCCCACCCTGTAGTCAATAAAGTTTCATAATATAAGTGCAGATATTAATAAAAGAAAGATTAAATACATATGATATACAGACAGATAATAAACTATACTTCAATAAATTTTAGTTAATATAATATTGGTTTGTATATATATGCAATATATTATATTAATATAATAAATATAATTATATTATATAAATATAATTATTATGTTAAATAAATATGATTATATTATAATTGTATAAATAAGTTATATTAATATAGCATATTAATATAATATTGGTTTGTATATATGTATGTATATTTCCAGCTTTATTGGTCAGTCTTTCCTGCCTTTTAATTTTAAAATTATTTCTAAGCAGTTGTGCAAAGCAGTTTCAATTCAACATGTCAGTTTATGAGTACAATGCCTCTTGATCAATGTCACTCTTTCCATTTCTCTCCTTCATCTCTCCCTGTTTAGTCCTTGTTGAATATTTTATCTGATGTTCAAAGGAAGTACTGAGACAAGAAAGACATGCCTCCTGAGGCAAATTTAAGAAAACCAGCATCAGTGTTTCTCCAGGGACCAAAAGGTAGACGGGGACTGAAAAGTGGCATGGGAAAGTTGCTGGCAGAGAAGGGACAGGAGATACAAATGTCGGGTGTCCTTGGGTGTGTGCCTCATACTTCGTAAGGGGCAGAAGTACTATGGTGGGAAGGGTGTTCCCTTTGGTATGTTCCTTAATGTCTTGTTTTTGTCCACTCAAAGGCTGAGGCTACTCGGAGCCAGGCAGCTGGAAGACTTTCAGCAGCAATACTTACTTCATTAGGAGGATGAAAATTTAATCCAAGGCCATGCAAACCTATAAATGAATGGTTTGCTTTGTAACTAGCCTCTGGTCCTACTATCTTCTGCCTGCTTTAATGACAACTTCTGAAAACTGTTTTCAATGAGTAGATTTAGATATGGCTGCTCAAATCCAAACAGAGCTCTGTATATACATGCTTCCAAGAATTAACACCATTATGATATTGTTTTTAGAGGGACTAGAAGTCACACTTGCATGCCTTACAAGATTGCAACTGAACATGTAGGAAAGAAACTTTTTTGTTTTCTATGCTAGTTTGGGAGCTTGAATTCAGGGCCTGGGCCCTGTCCCTTAGCTTTTTTGCTCAAGGCCGGACCTCTATCACATAAACCACACTCTTCTGACTTTTGCTGGATCATTGGAGATAAGATGCTCATAAATTTTTCTACTTCAGCTGGCTTCAAACCAAGATCCTCAAATTTTAGCCTTCTGGATAGCCTGAATTACAGCGTGAGCCATCAGCACCCGGCTATTTTTAATTGCTAGGATTTTCTTTGAAAATTCTTGAAATTCTTGAATTTAAGTGGAACATTACACAAGAATTTGATGTTTGACTTGAGGGTATTTGAAGCTCAGCACAGACTGTTCTGTAATACAGAAAAGAGAACAGACACAGTTTAATGTGCTTGGGATGCTGAACCAGAAAGGCAAAGACATTCCACAGGTCGGGGTGAGATTTTTCTCAAACACAGGCACTTTGTCATAACAGTCAGATTTCTCCACCTCTCCCTTGGGAGGTAGGCTTGGATGGATGTCCTCAGAGAAGGATGACTTAGGTCATCAATGTGAAGGCTTTTCCCCAGGAAACAGGGATGGGTAACCGCAGAGGTGCTTCTTACCCGGCCTGTGCAGGTAATGTTCATGGGCTGGGGTAGACATTCTGGATGGCACTGGATACATTCAGAGTTCTCCTCAAACTCCCTTGGCTCCCTGAGAGAAGGAAGAAGGGAACTACTTATGCCATCTCTTGAGAGGTTGAGACACACAGAAATTCAAAATAATATTAGATAAAAGTCAAAGAGATAGGATACTTAGATAACCCTGTAATATAATGCACCGATGTCACAAATGCAATCCTTATTTTTTCCCAGAATAATGAGCCCCTATGCTTCATTCGCAATCAGAGCACCTTTCCTCCATTTTTCTATAGTCATATAATTTCTGTATAATAGGTAAGCAAGCCAAATGTGGAAAAAAAAAGTTCTTATAAGATGTCCCTTCTTTCTTATGCCTACCTCACAGATACTGAAGTAGATAGAACAGGAAAAGAAAGAAAGGAGGAACACTTCAAATTAATCAAAGTCCATTACTCTAAGCAGTAAGAATTAAGCACAGATGTGTAAAATTTTGTAGAATATCTTCAGATTTCCTCACAATATGTAGATTAAAGTTAAACAAGAAACAAATTTCCTTCCTCTCTACTTCCCTCTTTCCCTCTTTCCTCTCTCTTTCTCTTTCTTTCATCACTACTAAGCCTAGATCTTAAGGCCTCAGAGCTGTCCTTTAATTTTTTCAATTAAGGCTGGCACTCTAGTGCTTGAGCCATAGTTCCACTTCTGGCTCTTTAGTGGTTGATTGGAGATAAGAGTCTCATGGACTTTCCTTCTTACTTCAAATTGTGCTCATCTGATCTCAGCCTCCTAAGTAGGTAGGATGACAGGCATGAGCCACTGATACCCAGCAAGAAGCTGAATTTTTATTGGAAAGACTAAATCATTGCAGCAATTGTTAAGACTGAAATCTGCTTTATAATTAACTAGAGTGCTTTGTTACATGAAGTGCCATACAAAAATCCTCTCATTAGACATATGACAGTAATTCAACAAAACCAACCCAGATTTATTTTTTGGTTCATCTCTGGGTCACACTTTGCTTAAAGAGCCAATTTTGCAGAGGGAACAGATGCAGCTGGACCCCCAGCATCTATCTCTCTACCTAACAGAAAGACATGAGCTTCTGGATACTGTTATTTTAATTTCCTTGTCTCTTAAGAAAGTTAAAGAGGAAAAACAGTATGTAAATGTCAACTTGTAGCAGCAAGGATTGTGCCAACAGTCTTTACTTGAAGTTGAAACAGCACTATCATTTATGCAAATTTTCATGATCCTTTTAACCAGATTATTGCTTCTGAACTGAACTTCTCTTCCCATTCTGGTCCAAACATGTTAGAATTCCAAATTTCAGCCAGTTTACACTCTTTTAGGGAAACAGGGATAAAGATTCTCCAGAGCCACCTGAAATTCCTGGAACTCTTTATCCATAAATTTTGCCTTTTTTGTTTTGTTAATTTTTTTTTTTTGGTCCAGTCGTGGGCCTGAACTTTGGGCCTGGGTGCTGTCCCTCAGCTCTTCAGCTCAAGGCTAGCGCTCTACCACTTGAGCCACAGCGCCACTTCTGGCTTTTTTCTTTTTGCTTATGTGGTGCTGAGGAATCAAACCCAGGGCCTCAAGCATGCAAGGCAAGCGCTCTACCACTGAGCTACCTTCCCAGCCCCTGTTTTGTTAATTTTTGTTTTAAAAAGAAAGCCTTTTTTCTTCTTGGACCTCCAGTCTACCGTCTAGCTCCTTTATTTTAATTATCGCTATTGGTTCTCAACACAAAGCCTCACATTCACATCAAGATTCTAAGAGTATCTAAGGTTGTACTTGTTGGCTGCAACTAAATTCAACAAACATTATATGACTCATTCCTTTCTTTGACTCTGGTTATATGTACAATTATTTGCACTGTTCAGTGCTCAGTATGTGGTAGGGATACATAACACAAAAAATTAACCAACAAATATATTCCGTATTGCTAGATTTCCATAGATCAGGAATAGAAGCTTCCAAAGAAAAGACCGATGCACTGCTCCAAGCCATTCCACTCATTTATTCTATGTCTTGGGAGCTCTGTGCAGGTTGAAAATCTGAAGGTATTTTCAGGAAAAAGGAGATTTAGTACATAACGGGGCTAGAAAAAACCTTTCCCTTCTTTCCTATCTTGATGAACAATTTGCCAAAAATAAAAACAAAAAACCCCTAACAAACCAAAGACAACCATAGTATAACCACAAATGAAAAAGAAAGAAGAATCAACCTGAAGAACAGAACAACTATGAAAACAACATCTTACCCCTCAAAAATGTTGCATTTGTCCACACACTCTCTTCCACGGCTGACATTCTGGCAGGAAACACAATCTCTGGCCTCTGGGCCCCAGCACCCATCCGAGGAGCATAAAGGATGACAGACGCGGCCTGTGGCCTCTGAGAAGTCACACCAAGTCAAAGTTATGGAATAGGGAGAAGAGCACCATGGGCCTTAGGGACTATGTGCTCTGCCTAGATACACAAAGTACATCTGAAAGGAGCGAGACACAGAGGTTCCTCTGCCTTGTGAGATACCACTGTTGTCTGGACCAGATCACTGGTGGCATTTTGATGATGAATGCCACACCTGACTGAATCAATAGAGAATTTTGTGGTCACTTGCCTTGTGTACTGTATGCAGACCTTCATATACAGAACTTGTAAAGATTCCCTGAAAAGCACTATAATGGATGAGGAATCCAAAGCATAAAGTGATTAATGGACAGGTTCCCAAACCCCAGGAGAGTGAGACCAGCTTCAAAAGTGGAGTTTTGGCTCCAAAAATCAGAGGATAAAATGTTAGTGTGAATTGTCTCCCAGTTCCTCTTGGTGTGTGTGTGTGTGTGTGTGTGTGTGTGTGTGTGTGTGTGTGTAAACACAGTCATCAGAAACTACATTGTAGGTGGCAACCTATAAGTAAAAATGTAATATAATTTTAATGCTAAACTTAGTTCTTCAAATTACAAATGAGCCCCACAAATTTATCCTATGAAATTGGAATAATCTGAAAACAATTCTGGTGAGTTTCACATGATGACTTCACAATTAGGAATATACAGATTTTAGTTTGCTCAAGGAATGAAAAGCATAAATGTTTGGGAATGGTCCCTTTCATAGTCTACCTAAAAATAAAGGACCTCCACAAACTCTGTACGTGATCAAAAAGGAAAGCGCCTACTTACTGCAGTCTTTTTCACCTCTGTTGTTTGTGATTTTGATTTTCTGACCCGAAGTCCCAAGTAGTTTTTTCCAGTTTATTGTATATGCATAACACAAATTTCGGTTTCCTGCAATTATTACATCTCCATCGCTTATCTCCTTGAGGGAGCGCAATCCCAAGGACGTTATGTTCAGGCCGACAACCGCAAGAGAAAATTGACCACTGAATTGAGTAGAAGGTAAACAGCAATGTAAACAGTGATGAAAATGACATGTCACCAAAAACTTTATTTCACTTTTCTGGATCACTCAGATTTACACTACAAGCTACATTCCAATGGTTGTAAATAATACCATATAAGATATGTATTATGACTTTTAGAACAGCAATTGATTTCTGAAGCTCCTTCAAGGAAAACCCAGGTTTGGTTCATTTAGAAAGGCAGAAGGAATCAATGCCTTCATGTCATTTACTTCTTTTCTGGGACTGGAGATTGAACTCAGGGCCTTGTTCTTGTTATACAATTGTTCTACTCCTTGAGTCACACTGACAGTCCTTACAGCTTTCATTTTTTTTTTTTTCAGATAGAGTCTTGAGCTAATTGTCCCACTGGCCTTGAGAGAAGCTGGGACCAGAGGTGTACACCACCAGTGTCGCTGTAGCTCATGTGGTAGAGCGCTAGCCTTCAGCTGAAGAGCTGAGGGACAGTGCTCAGGCCTAGAGTTCAAGGCCCACGACCAACAAAAAAAAAAAAAAAGAAGAGGTGTACACCACCATTTCCAGCCCTATTTACTACATTTTTATTGGTCTGGAAATGGATAATGAGTTCTGGTTATCTGAGCACCCGAATGCACTTAAAGATTGTATGTTTTTCTGTCCATCCTTCTACTCATTCATCTCTCTAGTCACGTATTTAATGAACGAGTATTTGGGTACCGTGAGCCAGAATCCTATGTAGGTTAAATACAGGGAACTTTTGGTTAGAAGATTCTTTGAATCCAGTAAGATAAATTCAGCCATCTTGAACAGCACCACAGCCAAAACATCTAAGCAGCTCTGCAGAGGGCTGGCTGGAAAGGGTGGCTTTCCCTGAGCAAAGATGCCTAAGATGGGGAGAAGATCTGGACAGCAGGGCCAGCGACATTGTCTTCCTTCCCGATAGGGTACCAAGGCTTTACAGCCATAGGAGCTGATCACTATATGATCTGACCACTGAAACTTACTCATACAAAAGGAAAATAAGTTCTGAATCACAAGAAGACATAGGCTGAGTGCTGAGAGCCACCAGATGCTGCTGGACCATGAATGTGCTGGTGAATAGGGCTGGGAGATTGGGTAAAGCCAGAGCACAGAAAAACTTTGTGCTTTTTGTATCTGGTCGGAGGGGAGCAACAGGATAAAGGGGTGAGGTGGGACTTGAGTTGCTGTTTGCAACTGATAAGAAACCACAGGAATGCAATTTGTATTTGCAGGAAGCTCATTTGACATTAGAATGATGAATGAGTCAGTTAACACAGAATTGAGCGAAGAAGCTGAGGATTAAGGTGTTTAATGACAGACGTGTAAAGTATAATTCATGTGTTCCTTCTTTGACTTTTACTCTTCTGCTTTCCATCCCTTTTCTCTTCATTCTTTTCTCTCCCTATAACCTGGTTCCAGAACAGTGATGCGCCCTCTGCAGGAGACCTGCAACTACCACTGCTGGGGTTTCTTTGCCCCTCCCCACCCATCATACACCCAGGGAAGTCCAGGTAACAGGAAGTGGGCTGGGGGTCGTTCTTACAGGAAAGGCCTATAGTTTTTGGGGCATCACAGTTTGGATCTAAAGGTTACCACACAGCAACGAGCCTGGCATGACTAGACTTCTAACCAAGGATGTGGGGGAACTCAGGCTATTTCTGCAATTCTCCTCCAAGTCAAATTTCCAAGTAAAAAAACCAGACAATATCCTAACAGGTTCCAGTTGAAGTCAACTTACTGTTGCTTTGTCCTGCCACGTATAATTTCTAGGTTCTCAAAAGCATGGAGGTCAGTCCTGTTTTCCGGCCAAGCCTGAATGAGCAAAAACCCTAGAAAGGCAGAAGAGGGAAGACTCAGACACCTAAGTCTTGACAATTCTTTCATTTCTAGGAGACATGAGTCTAGGATTCTCTTGAGACTATCATATGGGCAGGAAGTGTGAAAATGTGACTGAATTGGATTTTTAAAAATTCTCCTCTGAGGATGTAGGCACCTGTGAACATGCAAGTCAAGGCAGACGTTTGAAACAGCATCTTTCCTCTGCTATGGAACTGTGTGCTTTCCACAGTGCCCAAGTTCCACTCAGAAACCGCCTACCCTCAATAGGCTCCTGCTGTGATTAGAGCTGCCAATTATCAAGGTGTTATCACATACAAAGTGTTTTAAATGTTTTCGTTATCGAACTCAAAACCCCAAGTCAACCTTGTTCTTCAACTCAAGTTGAATTATTTCCTTTTCCAGAGATGAAAAAATGTAGAACTCGGGTAATAGTCTTGGTCCCAATGCCTGACAGTAGGCAAATGGAAGACTGAAGTTTAGTTTCTGATTCTTAAAAACCCCCACAGTCCCTCATCTTGTTCCTCTTCGCTCTCTCTACCCATTGAAGTTCCTGGGCTATCAGCACTGCTGGTTTGAGTTGGGGGAGAACAAAGTATTACACAATGTCTACACCAAGTTGTGAATGGCCTCAGCTTTGGTTGGCTTAGTTGTATCCTTGCACATGGGGAAAAGTGCATTTTTAAAAAGTTATCAAAGAGCTTAATATTTATTGATGGAAACTGTATTTGTGTGTGTGTGTGTGTGTGTGTGTGTGTGTGTGTGTGTGTGTGTGTGTGCGCGTGCGTGCTACTTTCTGCTTTTTTTAGTAGTTAATTAGAGATAAGGGTCTCATGGGCTTTCCTGCCCAAGCTGGCATTGAACTGCAGTCCTCATATCTCAAGCCTCATGCGTAGTTAGGATTACAGGCATGCTCTGCCAGTTCCTGGCCAGAAGCTGTAAGCTGTAGTGTGTGTGTGTGTGTGTGTGTGTGTGTGTGTGTGAGATGGGGCTTGTACTCAGGGCCTAGGCTGCTCAAGGTTTGTGCTCTACTACTTTGAGCCACAGCTCCACTTCTGGCTTTTAGGGGGTTAATGAGAGATGAGTCTCATGGTCTTCTCAGCCTGGACTGGCTTTGAACTTTGATCCTTAGATCTCAACTTTCTGAGTTGCTAACATTACAAGTGTGAGCCACTAGCACCTGACCAGAAGTTGTATTTTTATGCCTAGGGAAAAGAAAATGTCTACAAAATTTTAATTTCCTACTTATGCTATTGGATGTCTCAGTACAAACCTGTTATTTCCTTCACAGTTTTTAGAATATCCAGTTCCTTTGGGTCTAGAGGAGGAGTATGGGTGAAGTTGTCACTGAAACAAATAGCAAAAGGATTGTTAATCGACAGTCTGTATTAGTTTAAAAAACAAACGAAACAACAACAAGCTTCATTCACCAGTCTCTGCACACGTAATTCAGCCGTCACTTACCCTCTAAAGGCTACAGGCAGGATATGAAGATCTCCACTGATGGCAGTGCAGTTTTTGAAGTGTTTGATATTTGTAGCATTTATAGAGAGTGTGTCTTTAAATTCACCAATTCCTATTCCATTACAAACTGTTAAGAGAGATATTTATTCCATTTATAGTTGTTGAATTAAGAATACAAGAGTTCCATAGGCAGATGGGAGCTGAAAGGGAATTCTTATTGCATGAACCCCTGCCCAATGACCTAGGTACCAAGACATTGGCATTATTAGGGCAAAAGTGGATGCTATTCTTGTCACAGCTCTCAGTGGTTCAAATTCTCTTCATTGGATCCCACTGGGGCTAAGTCTGGCTACTCCTAATTATGTTTGTTCTTCTTCCTTTTTCTGTCCAAGGTGGTCCCTGTGCTGCAAGCATGCCTCTGCTCCTGCTCTAACCACAGAGATCCCCCAAGCTAAACCTTCTCTGCTTTTTTGTATTCCTAAAACCTGGCTTTGTACTATATCCTGTGTGTGCATGCACACGCGTGCTGCTTCTGGGGCTTGAACTCAGGGCCTGGCACTGTGCCCAAGTTTTTTTGCCCAAGGCTAGTGCTCTACCACTTGGGCCACAACTTCACTTCTGGCTTTCTGGAGGTAGTTCATTGGAGATAAGGGTCCCTCTTCTGCCCCACTGCCTGATTTTGAACCTTGATCCCCAGATCTTAGCTCTTGGGTAGCCAGAATTACTGGTGTGAGCTGCAGGTGCCTGTTTATCTTGTATTTTAAAGAAACAATAAGCATGGTTTTTTCCATCTAGAAGAGTAAGATGTGTTCACTTAGAGGTAGGCATAGAGCCCAACTTTGGGGTGACTGAAGAAAGCCTGTGAATTCCCTACCTTTGCGACAGGGCCCTTCACACTTTTTACACTTGCGAACGCCATCTTCTTCTACTTCATAGTTATCAGGACCGCAGGCCCGGACACACGAGCCATGATCTGTCACCACATAGTTCCCTAAGGAGGAGATAATGAAAGGAAGGTGATAAAGGTGGTGGCAGGTGCTCCTGGCCTCTCCCAAATATCTTCATGTCTTGCTTTATGGGGACTGATGAAAAGGGTTCTTGATCCTTCCATTGACTTTGCTTTGAAGACAAAGAATGAAAGGTTACACATAGAAAAGAAGTGAGTTGAAGAGCTCTTACGATGACAACCTGGATAAATACAGATGGTTCACCCCAGGCAGGGAATAGATGTAGGAGGGAAGAAATCAATATTGCTTATGTCCCCAAGCTTAAAGTACCTCCTTGAAGCTCAGTTTCCTCTGTAGGCTCTGTCTTCAGGTTATGGAGTATTCATTAAACATGAGAGAACCTAAACAAAGCCCACTCTTCTACCTAAGTGGCTACATTTGAAGGTTCATTTCACTCTACTGCTGATGCCCAGCTCTGCCCTTCCATGGTTGTGTGTGGTGTGACAAAGTGTCCCTGTGCTGAGTGTTGACGAGACTAGCTGTGTCTGTACCCCGGACAGGTACCTCAGTCCCTGCTTTGGCCTCCTTCTCTCCCTCTTAAGTTAGCTCACTTGAGTTAATATTTGTGTTTAGATTATGTTTGAGAAACCCTTTTTGTTTCTATTTTGAGTTCCCCAATCTCTCAAATATTACGGGACATCGGTACAATTGTGTTTCTGTGATTGCGTGCTTTTGTCATTTTAGGCTATGGGTGGTTCCCTGTGACTTTCAGAGCTCTATTACGTTTTCTCACAAAGCTTTTTCTGCATTGTAATTGTGACCAGTTTATCTTGGTTTGCCAGTTACCTTGGGTGATGAGATTTGTGTATTTTTTAATTCTCTACAAAATTAAAAAAAATTCATCCATAACAAATCCAAGAAGAAAAATGTTTCCCCTCATAGTTGTTCTCTTACAAATTTTTCTGTTTCCCTTCTAAAAATAAAAGTTTCCTTAACTTTTAAAATGATCATTCTTATTATCTTTAAGTAGTAATACAAAGGGGTTTCAGTTCAACAAGTCCGGTTATGAGTACAGCCCATCTTGATCAATGTCACCCAAGACTGGTGTGTATGGCTATTTAAGAACTCAAGCAGGGGCTGGGAAGGTGTCCCAGTGGTAGAGTGCTTGCCTTGCATGCATGAGGCCCTGGGTTCGATTCCTCAGCACCACATAAGCAGAAAAAGCCAGAAGTGATGCTGTGGCTGAAGTGGTACAGTGCTAGCCTTGAGCTGAAGAGCTGAGTGGCAGTGTCCAGGCCCACAGTTCAGGCCCCACAACTGACACACAAAAAAAAGAACTCAAGCAACACCAAAATAAACCCAAACAAGATAAAAACAAAGCTACAATACTCTGAAAAGGCACAACTTTCACGAGAACTTTTACCAATTGAGAAAGTAGATCTGTTAAACTTTCTGACTTAGATCTGTTAACAAGAACCAAACAGTGAGGGGCTGTCTGTAGCTGTATGTCAATCAGACAACTAGACACTCTGGGATACAACTGCTGGCTCTCTGTTTTGGGTGTGGAAGCCAGAGAGAGGAATCTTTCCTGTTATGCGGCTGGGCCACTAGTGACACTAAAAACCAACTTTCAAAATCATTCATTGGACAGATGATATTGTCCCACGAATAGAGAATAGGCAGCTTCTGTCTATTCTGGGGCTATGAATTGGCCTGTCTTTACACACCTAGATAGGCATAGTCACCTGCTTTACAACAGTTAATCATAGACTAAGACTGACCATGCTAGGGGACTCTAGGACTTCAGTAGAGCACAAAAGAGGGCATAGACCAGCCAAAGAATTTCCCATATGAGAACTCACGAGGACATTTCTTCACACAAGTGGCGCCAAAGCTGTACTTCCCTTCGGGGTTGACATCCATCTGGTAGGTGGTGGGGTTGTAGAGCATGAGTGGTGGGCAGGTATCCTTGCATGTGGCCTCATCTCGGAACTTGTGGCAGACCTGTCACAGGAGAGACAACTCCTGGTCAAGTTGAGTAAAGGACACTAATGCCCAAATGAATGAAGCCCAGCATTGTTTTGATTTCAGGTTAGAAATCTCAGCAGCTCAGAATGGAATTCTCAGTTTCAGTACAGTCAGATAGGCTTTGCTCTGGAAGTGTTTGTTCTTAAACATACTGTCCCAGTTGTTATGATGTATGGTTTACAGTTAGAGAAAACATATCCCTATGTTACAGAGGGTGAAGGAGTTCACACACTGTAGTGGTAACTGTGGAATGGTGTTATTTTTAAACTTAATTTATACTGGGTTTCCCTTATAAGGAACACTTGTCAATATATTTCAGAACTGATTGCCAAAGTACAGAAAATCTTGACAAGAAAGAATGCGGAAAAGGCCACGCCAAATATATCGTGGCTCTTCCTAGGAAGTTTGGAGCTGTTGTTTATGAGAATCAGTCAGATCAACCAAGTCAAAATCCCTGGGGTCTGTATCCAGCCCTTAGAATTGAAGAATCTTCCCTTCTTTCAAACTATAGAATGTTCTAGAATCCAGCTTAGGTGGACCTCCTTTTCTGAAGCCAGAGGGTATCTTACCACACTTTTGCTGACCTCAGGAATCCATCTATCAGCCCTGATCTCTCCAGGGCTTCCAAGATGCTCCTGACTTGCAACTATCATGTGATTTTACCTCCCTGGAAGCACCAGGCTTCTATTAGAAAGTCTGTACTTCTAGAGACAAGAGGGAAGGTCTGAAGACGCCTTAGGGAAGGGTTGAGGGAGAGCGAGGTGAAGATCGAGGTAATAAAGTTGTTCTAAGTAGAGCAGAAGGATCAGCATCAGGAGACCCAAATATGCCCTCAAAAACATGTCACAGCAGTGATTGGGTGTCTTAAAGGGATCTTACAGCAAGAACTCTCTAGGTCTGTAATAGAACTAAGTGAAAAGTACAGTGTAATGCTGCTACTATTGCAACAATAACACATATTTAATATTAGTGCTTATTATGTGCCAGGTCTGGTGATGAATATGCCACTCAGACCATTTAACAAGGGAGGAAATGAGAGGTCAGATCATTTGTTTGAGGTCCCAGAGTAAGTGGTAGAGGCAATCACTGTGTCACCAAGAAAGGGCAATGTTTGCCCCTCCTGATGTCAATAGATGAATGTGTACCACAGAAGGCCCCCTGTGTTGGTTGGCAGATAGGTAGCTGCACAGCAGCAGTGAAATAGAAATTTCCATTGAAATCTGGGTCTTACCAGACAGTCGCTCTCCCTGGGCCCAGTGCAACCAGCAGCACACTGGTTGTGGCAGCAGTCACTAGGGGACTTTCCACGACAGCGCCGTGAACACTGCTGGGCACAGATGATTTTGGTGACTGAAAAAGAAGAAAGGTTGCTAGTGAGCTGAATCACCAGGTGGATAGAAGATCATTTTCTAGGGACATAGAACACTTGCAAATAGCAGAGGAAAAGAGGGGAGAAAGGATGGCGTTTAGTGATTCCATGGCTTAAATTCCCAGATAGCACCATGCAGCCAAATACATCAAATCATGCCTTTCCTCATGGTATCCCTTTTTGCATACATTATTTATTTATTTATTCATGATTTGTTTGTGCCAGTCCTGAGGCTTGAACTCAGGATTTGGATACTATCTCTTAGCTTTTTTACTCAAGGCTAGCACTCTACCACTTGAGTCAAAGGTTCGGCCCGCTTCACCCTCTCCCGCACCGGTAGTTTGAACTGTGATCCTCAGATCTCAGCCTCCTTAGTAGCTAGGATTACAGATGTGAGCCACTGGCACCTGGCTCATATTTATTTTTAATCACTTAGAAATACTAGATTAGCTCAAGTTCCAAACTTCTAGATCTTAATAATTAGACATTAGTGATTGATATTTTGGCAAGACAGAGTGCACACATTCAAAAACACACTTGACAGGCAGAACTATTTAAAGGCATTCAATAGTTATATCACAATTAAACTTAAGGAGAATTTGTCAGTCTTACTGCTGATATATCCACATGTTTCTTGGTCTTTGATCATATAAGCCAGCAACCATGATCAGGTAAATTAAAGTTTCTCTCCCAAAGAAGGTTAGTAATAGTAGTGGTAGTAGTAGTAGTAATAATAATAATAATAATAAAAGCTTCTGAAGAAACACTGGAAAAACATCCATGTAGACAGATGCTCAGATAAGGGAAGGGCAGAAGGGAAGACAAGAAGAGTGGTGACAAAAGCCAGCATAGGTAAGCCTCTTATTCTTTTCTTTTTTTTTTGGTTGTGGGGCTTGAACTCTGGGCTTGGACACTGTTCCTGTGCTCTTCAGCTCAAGGCGAGCGCTCTACCACTTGAGCCACAGCGCCACTTCTGGTTTTCTAGTCGTTTATTGGAGATAAGAGTCTCACGGACTTTCCTGTCTGGGCTGGCACCTGGCAAGGCTTTTATTCTTGGGGGAAGATGCTACGCATATTGTCCAGAAGGAATGATTGGGGTTCAGGTGGCTGCCTTCCACTTGTTGGTGACAGTCTGACATGCCCCAAGTGTCCACATTGGATCAACCAGGTGAGGAGAGAATCACAAGACTACCATTCATGACTGTCAGGTGGTGCTGTATTCAGGAAAGCATTGCAGATTATCAGAGAGGAATATCTATCCACCTGCATGGTGGCAGAAAAGGGGTTACAGTGGCCTGACCTCTGTGCACAGGGGGAGGTCTTCAAGCAGAGATTGTCCACTGACTTACGTTTCTGGCAATTTTCTTCTCCTGCACCCCAACAGCTTCCATTGGGACAACTTGGATCACATTTGTGGCCTGGAATATAAATCTAGACGTTAAAATCTTATCTCAGTAGGTGTGAACAAAGGGTAAGAAACTATACCTTTCCTAAGATTTTTGACTACTGTTGTAGTTACGAGGAAAAGTTTAAATTCTCTCTCTCTTTCTCTCTCCCCGTTCCTTCCTTCCTTCCTTCCTTCCTTCCTTCCTTCCTTCCTTCCTTCCTTCCTTCCTTCCTTCCTTCCTTCCTTCCTTCCTTCCCTTCCTTCCCTTCCTTCCCTCCTTCTTTCTCTCCCTCTCTCCCTCCCTTCTCTTTTTTCTTCTGTTTCTTATTTTCTTTCATGCCAGTACTGGTAATTTAACTCATGTTATCTCTTGGCTTTTTCATTTATGGTTGACCACTTGAACCACACCTTTAGTTAAATTTCTTATTCTCAGTTGGGTCGCAGCAGGGTAATGAAGTAGATTTCCATAAAAGCCATGTACTGCTTTTGTTTACACTTCATCTGTAGAAACTGAGTTAGCCAGTAGTTTTTTTACTATTTAAAGATACATAAATGAGAATTTAAATGAACTTAAAGGGCTGTGAGTTGCAATCTGTCTAGGCTTGGAGAATATTCTGACAACTTACACTATAGTGTTGAGGTATCTAAGATTAGATACCTCTAGTATGCACCTATTACTTCCTATGTCCAGTTCTGAATGAGTGATAGAATAGTTACGCTGGGGTATCTTAACTACTCAGGAGGCTGAGGCTGAGGATTGAAGTTCAAAGCCAGCACAGGCAGAAAAATCCCTGAGACGCATCTCTGACTAGCAAAAAACCAGAAGTGGAGATGTAGCTCATCTGGAAGGTAGAATGCTAGCCTTGAGCACAAAAGTTCATGGACAGCACCTAAGCTCTGAGTTCAAGCCATAGGATTGGCTCACAGAAAAAGAGAAGGACTTAAAGTTCAAGCTCCAGTACCACTCTCCTATCCCCAATGAAATGCCACCCCACCCCCATTAAATAAATACATAAAATATTGAAAGATTAACTTTTGACTTTAACCTATGTCTTACCCAAAAGCTCTCCTGGTGACCAGACCTTTTATTTTTATTTTAGTTTAATTAATGTGACCTAAGGGTAAATTCTCTCTTCCCTGCCTTAATGTGTATATCCACACGTATTGCTGGAGCTGCACACTTACAGCTGCTCAAGTGGCTCTGCAAGTCCATTGACATGTTTTTCAGAAACTCATAGCTGACGATGTCCCGCCATTGGATGGTCTCCACATTGCAGAGTTCTGGGTTGTTGCTGAATCGCACAGCACCAAGCAGGATTTCTGCACAAACAGAACAATAGTAAGCAAACTTTCTACCTCCTTTAAATAACAGGGAAGTCTGTATACATTTCCTTGCATTTCAGACTGTGTTAGAAAGATGTCAGTGTACAAACAAAGTCTCATGTTCAGCCCTGTAGAAGATTTGCTGAGACAGATGAAAACACAGGTTAAGATGGTATTGTGGCAGAGTCAGGCTTTCTCCTGAGCTGGGTTCTGAATTATGATTAGGAATTTAGAAATGTGTGAGAGAAGAAGAGCATAGAATGAAAGGCAAGTATATGGTGGGTTGTGGCAGACTCACTAGACTGGCATGGTTGGATAATGGAAAGGGGACAGGTAGAACCCATAACAACTGTAGACCCAGAGTTCCAGGACAAGGTAGACAACCTTCCCATAGCTGGATGGTGAAAATAATCTGCTCCTAAATGCCTCTGGAAGAGTTTCATTGGAGGAAAGAGTATGGATCTGATCTGGGACCAGATCAATCCGTATGTATAAGGAAGAGACAAAGACAGTGAAATGCATAGAGATAATTGTTTCAAAACCCTTCCTCTCCTTCCCCTCCCCCAGAGATAAAGGCAAGTCTGTATAAAAGGCGAATGTTGCACCCATGATAATAAACAAAAACATTTATGAGTTAGGCACAGTGATTCACTCCTGTAATTCTAGCTACATGGGAGGCTAAGATTAGGATTATAGTGGTTTGAGGGTAGCTCAGGTAGAACTTTTATGAAATCTTCTTCTGAACCAATAGCTGGCCATGGTACTATGTGCTTGACAAATCATATATATAGGAGGCTCAGAGTGGGAGCAATATAATTTCAGATCATCCTGAGCAAAAGAAGTTTATGAGGGGCTGGGAAGGTGGCTCAGTGGTAGAGCACTTGCCTTGCATGCTTAAGGCCCTGGGTTCAATTCCTCAGCACTACATAAGCAGAAAAAAAAAGCCGGAAGTGGCGCTGTGGCTCAAGTGGTAGAGCACTAGCCTTGAGCTGAAGAGCTGAGGGACAGCACCCAGGCCCAGACTTCAGGCCCCACAACCGGACCAAAAAAAAAAAAAAGACAACAAAAGAAGCTTATGAGATCATATCTCAATGGAAGAAGCTGGCCATGGGGGTGCGTGACGGTCATCCTAGTAGTAGAAGGAAGTGTGAATAAAAAGGATGATGACCCAGGCATATACTTGAGCAAAAAGACCTTATCTCAAAACAACCAGTGCAAAAAAAGGCTGGAGATATGACTCAGAAGTAGAGTTTCTAGCAAACACAAAGCTCTGAATTCAAAACCCCAGTACTGCAAAGAGGAAAAAAAAGAGATAATTTATGTGTCTAAGGCATTTGACAGCTGTTTTAGAATCTGCAGAGACAAATTTAACCTACTGGCTCCTCTTTTAGGACTTCTCCAGCAAGGCAGATATGTCACACAGTTTAATAGCCTCGAGCTCACAGGAGACCATAGTCATAAGGTTGTCACTAGAGCAGTGGAATGTAAAACCATTGTTTGTGAATCCACACAATGGTCCAGTGATTATCATTTAAGTATGGGAGAAAAACCCTTCGTACATTAAATGTCATTCAGCAACCCATAGGCAGAAAGTGGATGAGTCAGAGAGTGCCAACATGGATAATAAGGAAGGACTCTCCCAGGAAAGCTGCTGCAAGGAATGAGATCTCCTATGACATGTTTAGGTATGTATTTATGGGAATAAAGAACTGGGAGTACTGAAGACTTCCTAAAGACAGAAGGTACAGAGTGGGGACAAGTGGACAGTTTTCTCACTGGATAAGACAGAATAAATAGATTGCAGAAGAAGACCAAACTCTTGAGAGCTGGTGTGGGTGTCAGAGGTAACAGCAGGATGATCAAGAGAACAGACTCATGGGGGCCAGTTACAAGTAGTCAGGTCTGGAAACATAGGATAGGAACATCAAGACTGCAGTAACAATGAGGACAAGAGATAGAAGAAACAGGTAGGGTTCTTCCAGAGCCATCAGCCATCCTGAGAAGAAGCGGAGACAGCAAGGTGAAATGGGCAGCAGGAATCACCTCCAAGGAGACAGTGGATTTTACTTGGACTTTCAATATTTAATGAGTACTCACTTTGTGACAGACACTACATTAGTAGTATATGGTACTACTTTAAAGTATTTGCATCTATAGAATCTTAACTCATTTCAAAATAAAATTTAGGAAGTTGAGCTGTGGTTCAAATAATAAGAGTGCAAGCCTTGAGGTTAAACAGCTAACAGCCTGAGTTCAAGTCCAAGTACTGGCACTAAAAGAATAATAATGGGTCTGAGGAGTAATATAGTAGTAAGTCTATACTCAGCATGTGTGAAGCCCTGGGTTCAATCCCAGAACCGTGCCTCCCCCAGATATAAACAACCGAGACCTCTGCAACAGCTTCATGCTTCACTTGTACTTCATTAAATATTCTCAAAGCTGCAAATATGTCATGCACAGTTGGAAACAAGGATACTGAGTCACACAGAGGCAAAACTGGTGTTCTAGAGTTGCCTGGTTGGCAACAAAGTGATTGAGTGATGGGACAGTCTGGTTCTAGGAGGCAGACTCACAATCTGCTGCTGCCTGATGCGGTGACGCGTGTAAGACAAGACGGAGGGAGGCAAACGGAAGGAATGTAACAGGCCATTTCACAAAGTGTGGGTAAAATACAGATAAGTACTACTGTAGACACGGAAACTGTGTGGTGGGTGCTCTGAGCAGTTAAAAGTGGTGTGTACGAATTCTTAAGGCAGTTAATTAATAGGGAGAGAAACTAAGGAGCTAGGGGCGTGAGCACCCGTTCTGTTCTTGGCTATGGATGCAGAACCCAGACTCCATCTGTCCTTCGTCCCTTCTTTTCCACCTCATCCTTTTCTTGATCAGAACCAGGCCTCCTCAAGAGAACTGTGGGAAAGGCCAACAACAGCAGAGTCTGGGAAAATATTGGGGGCCCATTTCTTCACGACCATAGGGTTTTTGTGAGTGCTACCTTATTGTCAATTCTTCATTTATAAAAAGACAGAATGTAACATCTGCTTTGAAGGAAGGCTGTGGCATTATGCAAAGTTAACCTTCAACATGGTGAAGGCCTGTTATCTCCACTAGGTATGTACATAGGTGCATACGTATGTATTTATGTATGTATGTATTTATACCAGTCCTGGGGCTTACACTCAGGGCCTGGGTGCTGTTCCTGGGATTCTTTTGCTCAAGGCTAGCATTCTGTCACTTGAACCACTGCTCTACTTCTGACTTGTTGGTGGTTAACTGCAGATGAGAGTCTCATGAACTTTCCTGTTTGGGCTGGCTTTGAACCACGATTCACAAATCTTAGCCTCTTAAATAGCTAGGGTTGCCAAGGGCACCCAGCTCCAATTTTGTTTTTTTGTTCTTTGATTTCGTCTCCCTTCTACCATCATCTTGTTTCCTCTCATAGGAGTGTCCCAAGAATAGAGCACAAGAGAATTCAAACGTCGACAAAATTTTCTCCCCCTGTGCTTAGTTCACATGCCATACAGAAGCACCATCGTCCACACTGTCTCAAATGTGGACAGGATTTTTAAGGCACAATAGGTTGCCTTTCATTGGCAGTTTCTCTTCCCACATGTCCAGTAATTGTGGTCACATGTGGGCCAAATTATTGTAGTATAAGATAATAAGAGAAAGACAACAGGCAACTACTATCACAGAGCATTTATGCAATATTCTAGTCATTGTGTAGTTATTATTATTATTTGTTGTTATCTTGGTCCCTAACTAATGAACTAAATTATCATAAGCAGTCATGAATTGGAAAAAGTATAGCATGTATGGATTTTGGTTTGGCCTGAGGTTCAGGCATCTGCTAGTGTTTTGGAACACAGCCCTGAAGCATATGAGAGACAAGTGTGTCCTTTATACATGAGGTCAAAAGGTATAAGGCTGGCAGCTTTTTTTTTTTTTTTGGTCAGTCGTGGGGCTTGAACTCTGGACTTGGGCGCTGTCCCCCAGCTCTTTAGCTCAAGGCAAGCGCTCTACCACTTGAGCCACAGCGCCACTTCCAGTTTTCTAGTGGTTTATTGGAGATAGGGGTCTCATGGTCTTTCCTGCCTGGGTGGCTTTGAACTGTGATCTTCAGATCTCAGCCTCCTGAGTAGCTAAGATTACAGGTGTGAGCCACCCGTGCCCAGCTTGAGGCTGGCAGCTTATGCAGTCCATACACACACAAACTCTCCATTCCAGTCCAGGCCAATGGCCATACTCATTTTCTACTTTACCTAGAATCCTTATTATTTCTTATCATTACTCTCAATTTTTCCCTCAGCCATGGAAAAACTGGTACCTAACTGAAAATCTGCCGTTCTTGTGGCATTATCAGACTTCCACCTGCTGGATCTTGCAACACAAACACTTGAGGCATGACTGATGAAAACAAGCCTTCTCAGAGGTAAAACAACCAGATGGCACTCAGCATTGTCACCCTTCCCTGACAGCCATCTCTTACCTTGTAAGTTCCTCATGGGCAGCTCCCTCAGCCCTGTTTTATTTGCCCCGTAGTTAGACAGGACTGCCAAGGCATAGGTGTTTTCATAGAGTGCATTTCCTCTGATGATCTGCAGGTTCTCCAGGGGAATCCTCTCTACCGTGTTGAGGGCAATGAGGACGTAGCCAGCAACCTCCTGGATGGTCTAGGAATACAAAACACGGTCATGTTATTTCTTTCTTGTGAAACTCAAGAGATAGTGGCTAACATGGGTTCAGAAGCTCCCAAGACACCTAATTTCAAAACAGTGTACACGAGTAGTGGACCCATGTGGAAACATGTACACAACTGTCACTGGGGAAACAAACGTGGGAGGATTTGCACCTATCTCCCCTCTTCCCATGTGCATTTGAAGCCTTATTTGGGCAGGCTGTGCAGTATTTAGCATGTTGAAACCAACCTCTAACTCAACTGGGGGTGCAACACACACAAATGAGAAAAGGAATGAGAAATCACTTTGTATCTGTCTCACATCATTTTTTAGAAAAGGGAAGAAAGGAAAAGAGGGAGGGAAAGAAGAAGGAAAGGTGGGAAAACCCAGGGGAAAAGGTCAAGCAAACTCCATGCAAGCTCAACTACCTCCCAACCAAACTCTAAAACCTTCGGAGCTGGCTTCTATCGACTCACTAGAATGTACTGGTAAATGATGAGGAATTTTGTGAAGTTTTGTAAACCTCTGATAGCTCAAAATCTACTATGGTGTGAGTATTTATAACAATATAAATACATGGTATGAAGACAGGCTTTTATATTTTTATTATGACGCTGTGTGTGTGTGTGTGTGTGTGTGTGTGTGTGTATGGTATTACTGGGAACTGAATTCAGATCCTCAGTTTACAGTACTTAGCCTTTTTATTCAAGGCTAATGCTCTACCACTTGAGCCATTTCTGGCTTTTTTGGTGGTTAATTGGAGACAAGAGTCTCTTGGACTTGCCTATTTGGATTGGCTCGGAACCATAGTCTTCAGATCTCAGCCTTCTGAGTAGCTAGGATTATAAGTATATACCATTGGTACCTGGCTTATTATGATTACTTGTTTAATCTGCCATTACATGTACCCCAGCTGCAGTGCTGGTCAAGGTTAAGGTCTGGGTCTGTGATGACGGATGGATGTTTCTCCCCAATTTTCTTTTCCAGCTATAACCTGGACTGGAAATGTTAAAGTGACCTTCTCATAAAATGCTTACCTGTAGTTCCTGGGACTTATACCTGCCACAATGAAAGTAAGCACCTAAGCTAAATTCTGCCAAGGTCTTTTCTCTACAAATATTCTGTTCTATTATATTTGAGGAGAGTAACCACATTCATTGAACTAACCTTTAAGAAGGAAAGATCATAATTCCTTTGCACGTAGGTAATTTCCAAATTCCCAAGAATCACTTCACAGTTATTGAACATCCTTTGCAGGCTCAGAAAGTGGTCTTCAAAAGTGCCTAGCTGGGTGAGTCTGTTACTTGTGCCTTGGCAAACTGAAACAAAAGGGAAAAGCGATCTTTCAGGAAATGCAGGGTAAAATCGTGAAACTACAATGAAACAATGCTGACCAGATTTGTGCGTGTCAGTCTCTTACAACATAAACTCTGTTCCAAGCACATGTAAAGCTGAGGTGATAAGAGATATTTAAGTTTATATAAAATATAATCTATAATAAGAGAGAGCTCAATCCTATGATACATAGAGTCATGTTATAGAAAAATACAGGTGCAAAACCATGTTAAAGACTGAAAAGGAAAGAAATGAACATTCTAAGGCAGTACTTAAGACAGAATAGCCTTAAGAGCCACAGCAGACAAAGATAAATATCAAGGTTATTTAATGATATAGTTGTGACATAAATTCATAGCTACACAGTAAACATTTTGCTATACCAAAAGTCAGCATGTCCCATTATTGTGTGTCCAAGGACATATGCTTATAGACATATGATAGGCAATATTTTTTAGCATTATTTAAAAATTTTACATTGTTATTATAAAGGTGATGTACAGATGGGTTATAGTTACTAAGTCAGGTAAAGAGTACATTTCTTTTTGGATAATGTCACCTCTTCCCTCCCAGATTTTCCCTCCCATCCTCACCCACAAGTTGTATGGTTCATTTTCAACGTAGTGTCCAGTAAATAACATTGCATCTTTTTTTTTACCCTTTGTCTCTCCATTTCTGTGCCCCCTCTTACCCTCTCAAAGATATATATAAATGAACAAACAAGACAAAAGAAAATAAAAACAGCAATAAAGAAAAAAATACTCTTGTTTCCATTTCCTGGAGTTCATTTTGATCAGTATTATTTTGTATGATGTTAAGCAATAGTGTTGAACCTCAATACTACACATCTAGAAATAAACAATGAAAGTATAACGTAAAAGCCCAACTGGCCAGGTTCTGGTAGCTCACACCTGCAATCCTACCTATTCAGGAGGCTGAGATCTGAGGATCACAGTTTAAAGCCAGCCTGGGCAGGAAAGTCTGTAAGACTCTTACCTCCAATTAACCATTAGAAAACAAGAAATGGAGCTGTAGTTTAAAGTGGTAGAGTGCAAAAAAGCTCAGAGATAGCACTCAGCCCCTAAGCTCAAGCCCCACAACTGACAAAAACAAAAACAACAACAAAAGGGCTGGGAAGCTGGCTCAGTGGTAGAGCGCTTGCCTTGCATGCATGAGGCCCTGGGTTCAATTCCTCAGCACCACATGAGCATAAAAAAAAAAGCTGGAAGTGGCGCTGTGGCTCAAGTGGTAGTGTTAGCCTTGAGCTGAAGAGCTGAGGGACAGCGCCCAGGCCCAGAGTTCAGGCCCCACGACTGGACCCAAAAACAACAACAACAACAACAAAACAACAACAAAAAGCTCAATGGGTTCGAGATTAGGACTATTCCTCCAAAGAAATATATCAAAAAATAAATCAAAAGTCAAATTATAGAATAGTTAGAGATAACAAGAAAACCAAGATAACATTTTTGAGCAGCCATTCTGATACTCTACCCAGCACAGGTGTGGGTACAGTGGTTTTGCCCCATGCAAAATGCAACTTTGCCATTCTTCATGTGTCAAGATACCAAACCTACCCCAGAAACCTTTGTGACTTAAGCAGCAAAGTTGGACTGTATGTACTTGGCAGTCTGTATTTAAAAGCAAAGGAAAGGGTTATAATAAAGTGATATTTACAAACCTAGCTCTTTGAAAGTCATGTTTAGGCAAGCTTAACAAAACAAAGAAGCTTGGGACTTTTGAAGCAGGAAGCTTGTTAAAGGACTCATACTTTGAACCAAAATTATTCTAAGAGTGAAGAAATATGGCCTCTGGCTTTAGACATTCAACTCAGACTGGGCCAGGCCCTGTCTGCAAAGGTTCTACTTCAACACTCATAGTCACCAGGTGGCAGTGCACAAAATCAGGAACTCTTTCAAAAGTGAATTTGTAAGCCAGGAACAGAAGGCTCATGCCTGTAAGTCCTAGCTGCACAGAAGCTGAGATCTGAGGACTGCAGTTCAGAGTCACCCCAAGCAGGAAAGTCTGTGAAGTTTTTACCTCCAATTAATCACCTCCTCCCCCCAAAAAAAGCCACAAGTAGAGCTGTGGCTCAAGTGGCTGAGCTGTGAATGAAAAAGCTAAGGGACAGTGTTCTGCCCTGAGTTCAAGCCCCAGTACCTGCACTGAATAAATAAGCAAATAAAGAAATGCATTTCTATTTTATGGTTTCCTTGTTCCCTCTCCATGGGAATTATTCTTAAAGCATCAATTGGCCCTTGCATGAGTAGAGCCCCAGTGATGAGCCCATGTTCAGATGCCACATAATCAAATCCAAGGTATTTACCCAAACATCAACTGTGAAGCAATCTTCACATCCTCTTTAACTCTGTGGGGATTTCCCTCTTCTTCACTCTAATTCTCATTCAGATTCAGTGGTAGTGAAAAGGACTCTAACATGGGAATTGTGCAATTCCATAAGAAAGGGTTCTTATCTCCTGCCTGCAGAGGCAAGAGGATTCTATGACTCTTCCAACCATAACTTTGATTTGGCCCAATATCCACAGTCTTAGGAGTAAGTGAGATGCTTTGATGGCAGATACAACATGACAGAGAGGTATAACCATTCTAATGCATGTGGATAGAGCCAGACTGATGTACCAGTTCTAAGTTCATAAAGATGTCAGGGCAGATTTAGGTTCAGGGTTTTGACAATAGCATGTGATCTGTCAATGAACACATCATGGAACAACAGCTGCTTTATAAGCTGACTGTTGCCTGTACCTTTGCCTCTATCTGATCAGGTGTGTTCCATGTCACTCTAAATACTGGCCACTCTGTTCAAGTCAGCCAGGTGAGCCCAGTCCACCAGAGCCTAGGTGTGGAGCATGTTTCAGAAAGGTTTCTTAAATTTACAGAGGAATGAAAACAACAACAAAAAACATTGCTTTTATTTTAAATGATCAAGGATATCAGCTTGTAAATTTCTTTCATATGAACCCTAAGCATTACTTTATCACTAAACTAATAAGTAAGTAAAAGTTGTCAGTACAGTAAAAACAAATATGCCATTAAGATTAGTTCTTATAGCTGGATGCCAGTGGTTCACATCTGTAATCCTAGCTACTTAGGAGGCTAAGATTTGAGGATCGTGGTTTGAAGCCAGCCTGGGCAAGAAGTTCATGAGATTCTTATCTCTAATTAAGCACCAAAAAAGCCAGATATGGAGCCATGGCTTAAGTGGTAGAGTGCTAGTCTTGAACAAAAATGTTCAGGGACAGTGTTCAGACTCTGAATTCATGCCCCAGGGCTGAAGAGATGGGGGAGATTAGTACTTATAGGGAAAAAAAAGCACTTTTATGGTTAGGAGATATGGCTCAAGCTGTAGAGTACTTATTTTGAAGGTGAGTTTAAACACCCCAATTTAAAAAAATAAACAAACTTTCAGAAAGATTTAAAAAATTCTAATGAACACCTACAGTATTTATGTATGATTAGTCCTCATGGACTATCATAAAGTACACTAAGAATGAATTACTTTTATATTCAGAAAGCAAGATCATGTATTTGAGAAATAATAGCAACATTATGAATTATTGATACATTTAAATTCTGTACATGATTATACTACTTTGAAAAACCTATTCTAAGGAAATGGACCAAAATACTGAGAATGCTATATGCAGGAAATTTTTCATTATTTGTTTTAACGTGGTAAAAAAAAAAAAGCTTAAAAAATTCCTAAATGCGGGGTGGGGGGCGCGGGGGGAGGCTGGGAAGGGATGTGAAGGGTAAACAAAGGAGGAGGCTGCAATGCTTGGTAAGAAATGTACTCATTATCTTGCCCATGTAATTGTAACCCCTCTGTACAGTATGTTCACAATAAAAAAAAAATTCCTAAATGCCTGGCTGCCTAAATATCTATGCACGGGAATAAGGGTGAAGTTTGTTTAATATTTCATTCAATAAATGCAAGTCCATCCTGAAGATTTCCAGAGCTAATTACTCAAGTTTCAAAATAATCATGAATGAGTCTTTCTTTCTCTTGTACATCCAAAGGATAAAACAAAAAGCCTGTGAATAAAATCTAGGATGAAGATCAGAGCAAACTAGTTTCGGGGTAGCTGGGTGGCTCAGTAGTAGAGGTAGGTTTAGAATGCATAAGCCCATGGGTTCAAATCTTGACACCACACGCACTTACAAAAACAATAGAATTGGATTAAATTTCCAAATTGAAATAGTATAATCTTGGCTCCATCTTTATATCAACCATTTTGCCATGAGAAAATTTAAATGTGAGACTACCTACAGAACATCATTTAATAAAATAACCACACACTCATTAGATAAGTTTAACATAAAAGAACAAAAGTGGTTTTATTTTATTTTTTCCATTTTCTTTTCTGGTACTGGGAATTGAACCCAGGAAATGATGCAAACTAGGTCCTGAGCAATATGAGCTAGGCCTTCCTCAATTAAGAATAATATTAATCTCCTGGAATTCCTTTGAAGATTGAATGAATAGAGGATGTATTTCAATTTTGTCTTGTTACAGTTAACTATCAAAAGGTGATAACAATATAACAAGCCATGCATCTAGACAGCTATTAAGGAACTTGGGTCAAGGTACACTGCTCTAAGGTATTGTTTAATCTGGAGATGTTTATAACTGTTTATTATCTTTTATCTTCCTCAGGTGTTAAGACACTAAACATCCAATGTTCGTCATATCAAGAAAAAAAAGGGAACTCATTGTACTTTAAGAATTTCATATAAACATGTATCTGATTAGATACTTAAGTTATTTATTCAAAGAGAACTTTGCTTTTATTTTGGGCCTGTTCTTATGAAAACCTGACAATTTAAAAGGATATCAAGCTCCATAACATCCCAGTGGTTTGCTCTAACCTGAAGACAAATGTTAATGAAATTTGTCCTTTGACTCAGGTCTTCAAAACATTTAGTATTTTATGAAGACTAAAATATACACATGAAAGTGGAAAGA